ATCTTTTTTTTTGCAATTACGTCATTAATATTTCTGGATCACTAAATAATTGTCTGATTCAAAAAATCCCAAAATATAATTTGTTGGTCTTAAACTACTAATATATCGTACATATATTATTGTTTAATATTTTCATATTTGTAATAAGTGAGATAAGAATTTGTCGGTGACATTTACGGTATAACACCCAATTAAAATTCTACGAAACTCCTCATGGTCAATAAAATCGCTGTAGTTGTATATCTAAATAAGATAAATCAACAAAAATTTTTAAAAAAATCTTGTGAAACCCGTTGCTACACTTAGTAAAAGTAAAATAATCTATTTATAGTATATAAAAAGGTTCTGAAACTGTTTAACTGTGGCATGTCTAAGCTAAATATGATGTTTAAATGGAATTAAGCCAAACTGAAACTGAACTGAAGAGACTCAAAACATCTGAAATGTTGTGCTACAGAAGCAGAGGATTTTCTAGATTAGACAAAGTTATCAACTAAAAAGTTCTACACAAAATGGGCAAAGACCGCAAACTAGTCATAATCACAAAACCTCGCGAACTGGAATACCTGAGCCATATAATATTAATAATTAAAATGCGAAATACCGTTTTAAAATAGTGTGATGTTTTTATATCCAAGTTGTTTGGCGGTTATTGTTTTCCAAAAATTGACGGTTAACTTACTTGTCAACTTCAACGTACTTATCAAATTCTGATTGTTTTTTACGTTTATGTATTATTATGTATTATGTATTATGTATTATGTATATGTATTATGTATTATGTATTATGTATTATGTATTATGTATTATGTATTATGTATTATGTATTATGTATTATGTATTATGTATTATGTATTATGTATTATGTATTATGTATTATGTATTATGTATTATGTATTATGTATTATGTATTATGTATTATGTATTATGTATTATGTATTTATTATGTATTATGTATTATGTATTATGTATTATGTATTATGTATTATGTATTATGTATTATGTATTATGTATTATGTATTATGTATTATGTATTATGTATTATGTATTATGTATTATGTATTATGTATTATGTATTATGTATTATGTATTATGTATTATGTATTATGTATTATGTATTATGTATTATGTATTATATATTATGTATTATGTATTATGTATTATGTATTATGTATTATGTATTATGTATTATGTATATATACAGACAGATTTGACAATGACGTATAATATATATTGTACGTCATAAATACTGATTTATAAAGAGTCTAGCGTCTATAAGATAGCTGGTTAAGATAGTCTGTTTTACGTTGTAAATAATTGTAATAAGGCACAAATTTGGCATAAATCTAAATTTTGGTTTCGACAACCAAGAAATCTTCGGATTTCTACTTGTTGGTTTTATGGTCTCCGCCGTCTCCTAAACTACTATGTTGTGCATTCTATAAAGACATGCTTAATATTGAGTAAAACATACAGTCACATAATAGTGGGTACTTGTGATATGCACTAGTTAAGTTGGGTATGTCCTAGAGGAAGTCGGGTAACAACGACTGGACGAACTCTATTGAGAATTTGATATTTTCACAATTTTACAGATGTTTTCACTTTACGAAGTTTTGAATTTGCACAGTGCCACTAATTTTGCCACAACTTTTGACGTTTACTTTAACAAATTATTTTAAATCATTTGAATGATTTCATTTATTTCAAATGAAATAAATGAACCAACAAACATAATAAGTAAAGAAAAAAAAATAACTATACAGACAATGGCTGACTATAAACAACAATGAAGTTTATAAATATAAGATAAGAATATAATGAAAAAGATAGAAAAGTAAAAAACAAACAACACAACAAAAGAATGAAGAATCGGAAAAAACCTGCTTAAATATTGAAACATACATAGGAGGTACAAGAACTGAGTCATGGAAAGTACTGAGAGGTTTGAAACAATACTTAAAAGAAACAATTAAATTGGAAGATATACAGGACAAAAAATAGAACGACTATTACAAGGAACTGTTAACAGAACAAAGACCACCATTCATTGAAAAAGAAAACAGTCGAAGACGAAGCAGGTCCCTACAACAAGAAATAAAAATAACAGATTGGGAAATGTGTATGACCATAAAAGCAATTAAAAATAAGAAAGCATCGCGTGGAGACATCTCACCTGAGCTTAAAAAGTACGGCTCAAAAACTTACACCGGATGATAGAATGGATATTTCAGAAAGTCATAAATGGAGAACAGCTCCCAAAGGAATGGACGGAGGCATATATGACATCTATATTTAAGAAGGGTGATAGAAAATGATCCGATAACTATAAAGGAATAAGCGTAACATCTTCAATAGGAAGATTATATGGGAAGATACTGCGAGAAAATATAGAGTTAAAGGTAAAAGGCAAAATCGGGGAGGAACAGGCAGGCTTCACGGCAATAAGATCATGCATAGACCTTATATCGTGAGCTAATAGACTAAGCAGCTGTGGCATGTCAAGATGTATACTCCAGTAAAACAGCAAATTAATGTCCAATATTATTTACGTCATAAATGACTATTTTTAGTTTAACGAATTTACACCTTCTTCACTATTAACAACGCTAAATAGTCGAATATGAATATTCAATAGGTAAACAAGCGAATGTGTCAAATTCCCACTTTTATTAAAATGTATTACAATCTTTACAGGTCGTCGAAATAACAAAAGTGTCATATTCTTTTGGAATGTTGATTGGAATTGGTAGTTACATGGTAAAGTGGGACTTCTCAATCTCAGTACTGTAACTTTAATATTGTGGTAAGTTGAATGTATTTATTATTTATTTGCAGCAACCTAATAATAATGTTGGTCTTGATATACTACCTAGAAGCAATGATTCTTTAAGAGGAGCTCTTAAAAGGATGATTCTAGTGGGATTATCCTATCTAACCTACGAGAGAGAAAAACGGGCAAGACCTTCTTCTAATAGTTCTTCAATAAAACCTTACAAATCGAGGTTTCCAATTGTCACGAAAAAACTAGAAGAGCATCAAAAGCTTTGTAAGGATCTTCAAATACCACGTGTTTACCATGATTTCTACACAAATCTTCCCTCTGATGACAGTGAACGAGATGCCTTTACAGAGCCAGATGCCGCTGAGAATAACTTCTAAACCTTTCTTAACTAAACCAATAATTTTCTAAATTTTAAAGCAAAATTATAAACTAGTTTAGCGTTTCATTAAATTTTGTTCAATCTTAAAGTTCTCTATTCTGTTTACCCATACCATGAGAAAACCAATCAATAAATGATACATAAGTACATTCTTCTTTACTACAAATGCAGATTCGCTATTCTTTATAGCCAAACATTCTAACAATAGTCACTTAGGTAACCTAACGAATGTGACTTTTTCAGTAACTATGGATACTTAGCCTATTTTCATTATTATCCTTTTTGGCCATTCTTTTAGGGTTTTCAGATCAGGTGTGTAAAGAGAAATAACATTAAGAACACATTTTTAGTCGAAGCCCAAAGTGTTTTTTAGCTCTCCCGAAAAGTAGCGAATATGTACATTCGCTACCTTACCAAGTTGGTCACGATATACACACTGAAACAACTGTTGGAAGAGAAAAAAGCACAAAATAGAGATATACATTTGGCATTTGTAGACCTAAAAAAGGCGTATGACTCTGTACCAAGGTCAGAACTATGGGAGGCAATGTTTAAATTAGAAATACAGACGGAACTCATAGAAGCTACAAAAGCTCTGTATAAAGAAAACAAAGTGTCCAATAAAATGGGAACAAGAATCATAGTAAACTTCACCACAACAAAAGGGCTGCTGCAGGATTGTACCACATCTCCAACATTATTCAAAATATACTTAAAGAAAGCCCTGACTACATGGAAAAGAAAACGCGAAGGCATGGGAGTACAAACACGAAACGGACATAACTTATACACGTTAAGTTTTGTAGACAATAAAGTAGTGATATCACAAGACCAAGAAGACGTCAGTTACATGATGAAAAAACCAAAAGAAGAATGCCAAGGCTGGCCTAGATATTAACCTCGCAAAAACGGAGTACCTATCTACAAGTGAAGAAGACATAGAAGATCTACAGATTGACGACAACGTAAGAATCAAAAGAAAGGATAAATTCAAATACTTGGGATTTATAATCACGAAAAAGGCAACAATAGAGGAAGAAATTAAGCAAAGGTTAGGACAAACAAGAACATCAATCCGACAACTTAACTCAGTACGGTAGAGACATCTAAATATGAAGACAAAACCACAGATTTATAAAACATAAGTGCGAAGTATTATGACATATGGGGTTGAAAATTGGATTATAAACAAGAAAAGCAGCAGTAAGATAGTAACAACAGAGATGAAAGGCCTGCAAAGATGCTACAGAGTAACAATATTGGATATAAGAAGTAATGGCGAAATAAAGCAAAGAACATCAATAGAAACAGGCATACTAACATATATAAAACAAAGTGGTATGAAATGTAAGAAGAACTAGCGACAGCAGATGAATAAAGAAAATAACCGAATGGAGCCCCATAGGAAGGAGGAAAAGAGGACGACCCCGAAGACCATGGAGGAACGAAGTAGACTAGCTATGAGTAAGAGAGGTCTACACGATGAAGAATGAGACAACAGAGAGAGACGGAAACAGTTGAGCGAGGCAAGGCAGCAAATACTGTAGAATCACTGAATATATATATATATATATATATATATATATATATATATATATATATATATATATATATATATATATATATATATTTTAAACCATATAAACCTAGGTGTCAACTTGTTGTCTATAAATACAGTTGCACTTCTGCGGATTCGTCTGTAATTATGTCTCATTTTAATTAAAGTAAATAAAGCTTCTGATCAAAAGTATTCCAAGAATAAACAACTTTTTTTTAAACTTTATTAAACTATGTATGTTGTTTGGTAGAACATTTGAAAAAACGTGCTAATAAAATAATTCGAAATAAAGTATTTATTATTAATTATTCAGTAAATATTGGTTTACAGTTCGCAGTAAGGATTGTTTTTGGCCACATTCACCATTAATGTCATCTTGACCAATTTGCCAGATCATTGCACCAGCAACATTTTGGGATTTTATATATTTGGCCTAAAAAAATAATTTAATAAATATAAATTAAAATATTGATAGTTTAATAAAATATTTAAAGAATTAAACGATCAAATAAAACTAACTATTGGTACCCTTCGTTATTTAGAATTATTTTGGTATCTAACTTAGAAATAATTTCCAAGCTTGAAAAATCTTAGTAGTACCATCTCTAACGTTTTATGTGAACTAACTTGCTGATTTGTGAAGAAAGCTTCCTTTTAGTATTACGCATTTAAATACATATAAAAACGTGATTGGCTATAACAGGCTACGATGAACAATGCTTATACAGTGTGTCCGTAAAATATAGAAATAATTTGATATTTCCTAAATGAAAAGCCTTTTTAAAACATCTAAAACACGTCGATTTTTAAGTTTAATGATCTACATTCTACAACAAAATTTCTTTATAAAAGGTGATAAACATTAAAGTGAAGACATCATCGGCTTTTTTTTTAATGTAACACCCTATATTTTACGACATTTTTAGATCGATAAAAATGAGTTGATTCTAAAAAAGTATAATACTCGGGGTCTAATCGATATAATTTGAAAGATGTGCGCTTAGAAAATAATATTTATTGTTAAGTGCAAAGAAGCCTACTACTAGTTTTTAGTGAAATGTAATTATTTTTAAATAGGTAAAGAAATAATAAATAAGACTTAGAATCAATTTAATTTAACTATCAGACGACCGGTTTCGCTTTCTACAATATGCAAAGCATCTTCAGGTCTCGATACAAAGTTAAATAAATGCTGAAATGATAAAAACCCATATTAGGGTGTTGTCTAATAAAGATAAACAAAGTAGATGTTGTAAATTACAATAATTATGCCAATATTACATGTCTGTGGTTTTATTTCAAAAAGAGTAAGTTGAATAAAAAGGTATAAAAAGTTTTAACAGTTTAAACAGACAAGGTAAGGCCCACAAATTGTTATAAAATAGTCTATTAGATTGTAATAAATTAATAAATAAGCAAATAAATAAACATTACTTACATGCCGGTACTCTATTAATTGATGGATGGTAGAACATGGTTAAAACTACTATGTATTGTTGAATGGAGAACTCAATTCTGCTATTGTAGTTGTTTGACAGTAAACGGGAAGTTCTTGAGGAGATAGATTTGATCCAATGAAGCAGAGATATGTGTGTGATTGTTTGTTAAATGAAAGTGATGTAATATACCATTGTATTATTAAAAGTTATTTATACTTATTCGAGAGATATATTTATGAAATGTGTGTTATTTATTGAGTAATTATTTTATGAAGGTGACAGTTTTATGACAATAAATAAGTTTAGATGTACAAATTGTGTGGGTGTGCAATTATTTTTCAACTTGTAGTTATCAAATTTCTTTGATAAAGTTCTATTGGCAAAATAGTAGATTATTGCAAAGTCAAGTAAATAAAATATTGGAATTAAAACAAGTAAGGACAATTTAAAACACACTAAAACAGAAAACACTTAGAAGGGACCAAACAAACATAAAATTTAAAAGGTGGAAGGACTGTTATGCACTACATCTCAGTCTTGGGCACAATGAGTTTTTTATGTGTTATCTATTAGATTTTAGTGGTAAATTTGATAGATGTAGGTTAGCATGTGACAGTTCTTCTTCTGTTTCTCAATACTGCAAGTTAAGTTATCTAGTTTTATGAAATATGCTGATATTAATGAATGTCTATAAATTGTTTGAATTAAGATATCAAAAGTAAATTGATGTGTTTAATATTGGCATACTTTAACAATCTTTAATTAATTAAATTTAAATATAACAATACGAATAATTGAAATACATCCCACATTATAACTAACTTAGTCTAATGTCCAAATTACTGAAAAAATCAAAGTGATTCTTTGGCAACTGTACATGTACATTTTATAATCAAATGTATAACAAGTTTACAAAAGTTTTTTATTTTTATTTGAAATTAATGTTGGTGTGAGTTATCTATCATGGTGTTTTTAAATATTTTAGATATTTAATTCAAATTCTGATATATTAATACATTAATATCTGATATATTAATATGTAACCAAAGCAACAAATGGATAATTATTGATGGTAATTAATTTATGGGCTCAAGAAATTGACTGAATTATAAAGCCTTCAATAATTAGTTGGTAGTTCTAATATCTGACAGTTGGAACCGTAATAATTGTTGGAACCGTTCTAATTATTTTTAGTAACGTTCAATAACAATTAAGTAGTCCAATAATTGTATTAATTCGTGAATGTTATGTATTATTGCTTATAATTAATTTGTAAATAGAAATGAATTTGAGTGCAAAGCAAAGAACTGAAATACTCATGATGATTGGGTATGGAGACATATCGCGAACTCAGATGGAAGTGTGTTATTTATTTAATGATAAATATCCAGAAAGACCCATAACGCAGTCAACTGTAAGTAAGGCTGAAAAGAAATTTCGAGAAACTGGTACGGTTGAAACTGCACGCAAATCATATCGTCACTCTGTAAATTATGATACAACATTAGATGTTCTACTTGCTTTTAAACAAAATGCGCACACTTCTGTTCATAAGGTTAATCTTGATCTCGATGTTTGCAAAACAACGGTACACAAAGTAATAAAACTTGACAAATGGCATCCCTTTAGATGCATACTTGTACAGGAGTTAAACGAGAAGGTAATTTAAACTGGCCAGCATACCTTCAGTTTTTAGGGGGTTATCTCGTACCTACTTTAGTTAATTTATTCCCCAGTAGAATTAATCCTGGAGGTTTTGATGAAATTTTATGGTTTTAACAGGATGGTGCGCCTCTGCATTATGCTGTAGATGTTCGAAGGTACTCAAACGAAATTTTTACAAATAGGTGGATTGGAAGACGTGGACATATTAAATGGCCAGCGAGGTCGCCAGACCTCAATCCTTTGGATTTTTTTTGTGGGTTCATTTAAAGAATGTTGTTTATAAAACAAAATCTGCACATATTGAAGACTTAAAAACAATAATTCGTAAAGAAATAAACAACATTTCTCCAGAAACCATAAACAAGGTTCTACAAGAATTTGTACAACGTTTGGGTTACTGTCAAATACAACAAGGGCTACAATTCGAACATTTAAGATAAAGCCATGTGTTAATTACTCGATTACTTTCAAGTTATTTATTATAATTTACTTATAATTTATTAAGATTAGAAATGAATAAAAATTAATTTTCTAAGCGCATGTCTTTTATCCATTAAAAAAAGTCCTAAAATATAGGGTGTTACATTTAAAAAAAGAGCCGATGACATCATCACCTTAATGTGTATCACCTGTATAATGAACTTTTATTGTAAAATGTAGAACATTTAACTAAAAAATCGATGTGTTTAGTTTTTTTTAATAGGCTTTTCATTTAGGAAATATCGAATTTATTCCATACTTTACGGACACTCTATATAGTAAGTAGTTATAAAACATTTTTTATTTTAAAAAAATAGCCGTATCAACTTCCATACATGTATATGAGGTGGTTAGTTAATTTATAGAACGTTTATAGATATTAAATTTCGTTTGATACATTATATATATGAGGAATTTTACCAAATGATCAATTTTGCAATTTTGACTTGTGAATTCACTTGTGGTCTCGTGGAAGATTTCACTTGTGTATTCAACGACGTGGTTGGTTCATCTTTCCAACTAATATTTTCGACATTCTACATATTATGTCGAATTCCATAGAAAATATACACTTTTTTGATGCCCAAAACATTGAAATTGGAAATTTGAGTACACACTTCTGGTACCTTTTTTTTTGTTCTTTAGTACTTCCGCCACCCGGAACGAGGGTAATCATGTCTTTTTTGAGAACTTTCAAAAATTAAATAAGCGAAATAATATTGAATTTGGAGTATAAAAATATCGCGACTTAAAGTCACTGTAGAATCTGTTCAAAAGCACCTTGTTGTGCTTTTGTTATAAAATAACAAATTTAGAATTTTTACTACCTTTTTTTTATACTTTTTAAATACTGCTTTCATTTTATCTTCATTCTTAATATTTGCATCTGCTGATTTAGTCATTATTATGCATTGTGATATTAGTTAGTGTGAGATTAGTTTTTTTCAAATTTATGACATATTAATGACAGCATTCATTAAGTCGTTGCATTACGTTCTGTAAATCATTGTTGGTATCCATCATTATTACTGTATCGTCTTCAAAACGCAAATTATTCAAAACTTTTCCATTAGTAGATATACCTTCCATTGAATCCAAGAGCGATTCTTTAAATACCGCTTCACTGTAGACATTGAAGAGTAGTGGTGACAGCACGCAACCCAGCACGCAACTCTGGCGGACTCCTCTTTGTATTTTGATATCTCGGGTGTTCTGGTTGTCAACTCTTAACTTGGCAGTTTGATTCCAATATAGATTAGATACATCAAATGCCATTTCAGAATCTGCAAAACATAAGTACATGTCATATCCAGGCATCTCTGAGCAAGCACATTTAAGCCGAACAAAGCATCTCTTGTGCCCATACCATTTCTAAAGCTAAATGTTGTGTCACTAATTTTGTATTCAAAAGCTTTAACAATTCTGCTGTGTATTATTTTCAAAAATGTTTTCAAGTGTGTGACTCATTTAAGATATTGTTCTGTGGTCTGAGCAGGATATTGCACTTGACTGAGTATTGCCAAAAGGGCCGATTGCAGCCGTTGTCTGTGGATTCTGATCAGTCTGATAATGAGGGACAGTCTGATATATTACATTAAAGAGTTCAACCAATATTTCAATAACATCTGCATTAATGAGTTTTAATAATTCGATGGGCACATCATCTGGTCCGGTAGTTTTGCCCTCTTTTGTGTTTTTGATGGCATAGATGACTCCTCTGTGGTTTCTAATGATAGTTCCTCTCTTTCATTAATAAATATCTTTTGAATGTAATTGGTCTAGTGACACAATATTTCCTTTATATCAATAATAATATCACCTTTATTATTTTTAAGGATATTTCTTCTTATGCTTTTTCTAGAACCTATAATTTCTTTGATTTTTTTTGTGTAAATTAAAGCTATTATACTTTTTATCTAGATCTTCTATTTTCTTGCATCTGTGCTAGAGCCACCTCTCTTTTGCCTCTCGAATTTTCTTTCTGATGTTTTTCTAAATTTCTTTGTATTTGTTCAGGTCTTTTGCTTTATGTTTTTTTCAGTCTCCCATAAGTTCAAGAATTTGTACTGTCATCCAAGTTTTTGTTTTCCTCCAATTGTATTAAGGTTTCTTTTCTAATTAATACAGAAGAATGTTGAATTTTTTTCCCATTTTTGATCAATAGTTAGAGTTTCTGCATTATCGTCTTTGACTTTCCTTAAGTTCTCATTTATTCTAAATTTCGTTTCCGCGTATGTATTATTTTGGTTGAGCCGCCTTGTATCCATGATTTTCATGAAGCTAGGGTGCTTTACATTTTGTAGTTTCACTCTTATCGACAAAACATCCGGATCGTGATCGGAGGATATTTCCGCTCCTGGATAAGTTTTGAATGATATTACAGAATTTCTATATCTTGAAGATAATCTATTTGATTTCTTACAATTTTGTTGTTATTGGCAGCTAGTGACTTCCATGAGTTCCTCATTAATACAGAAATCAACCAGCCCATGACAATGTTCATTTCTCTCTCCGAGTCCATATTGATAAATGGTATCTCCCACAAAATTCTCCACTTCTCCTTGCCCACTTTGGCGTTTAAATCTCCCAATATAATATTTTAATAATCTTTTAGTCAGCTTTGTTCATAGAAATTTCCTATCGTGTCTTCATCCTTGTCTGTAGTGGATGCATATACTTGGATTATCGTTATTTTACGTTTTAAATGAAAGTTGAGAGACAGTATAAATACTCGATCAGAGTAGGGAACAAAGTTACAAACAGTTTTTAGAGGACAAAGAGATTGGAGTTGTTACCGAAATAATATGAGGTCTCCCAATTATGTTCTGAATAACACATCATTCAAATGTATACCTCGACTACGTTTGCACGATCGAATCCAATGAACCCAATTTTCGGTCACTTTATGCAAAATATCCGCATTAATCTCACGAATGGTGTGCTCTATGTTCCTCTTCAAGTCTTCAATGGATTGTGGTTTATTCATATAGACCAATGACCTAATATAGCCCCATAAAAAAATAATCCAATGATGTTAAATCGCAGCTTTTTGGAGGCCAAGCATCTGGTCGAACTTGCTTAATTCTCCTGGGATCTCTGGCATCAAGAGAAATCAATGTTTCCGGGAACTTTTCCTTCAATAAATCAATGGTTGGGGCAGTAGTGTGACATGTGTCACCGTCCTGTTAGAAAAACATGTTATCCAAATCCATTTTATCCAACTGAGGCCACAAAAAATCCGTTATCATCGTTCGATACCTTTCACTGTTAACTGTTACACCATGTTCGAAAAAATAAGGTCCGATGATGACACCACGCCATAAATCACACCAGACAGTGACTTTTTCTGAATGCAAAGGTTTCTCAAAAATCTCATGTGGCTTATTTTCATTCCATGAACGACAATTTTGCTTATTCACAAAGCCGTTTAACCAAAAGTGAGCTTCATCGAAAAAGATTATTTTTTTGAAAAAATCGCCATCATTTTCGAGTTTGTCTAGAGTGCAATCAGCGAAAAAACGACGCTTATAATGGTCAAATGGCTTCAGTTCTTAAGTCAGAACAATCTTGTAAGGGTGTAGGCCTAAATCTTTTCTCAGAATTCGCCAAGTTGTCATTCTGATGAGTCCAAGTTCCTGAGAACGACGATTTACGGACACATTACATTCTCCGCTACACTGGCTCTTACAGCAATAACATTGTCCTGAGTTCTTGCATTTCGGCGTCTAGTAGGTGGTTTCGTATCCTGAAAAGTAAATTTACGTTCAAACTTTTCCACGATTCGACGAATTACACGCATATCAGGACGATGATTTGGTCCATAACTTTCAGGTAATGCACGATAGGTATTCACAAAAGAACGAATATTAGCATAAAATTTTAGTATAATTTAGAGTATACTAAATACAAACGTCAACAAGTGACAGTTATACCTTTTCAAAATGGCCGCTATGATATTTCAAAAACAGGACGTCCCTATTGGGAAAACCTGTACATTGTTACATTTATAGTGTTACATATTCCTAATTCAGGCCACTGTATATCGGTAAGCTCCAGTATGCAAATCTTCATTCTGCACATTGCCGACAATGTGTCATATAGTTTGCCAAATTGGTATAAACTTCCTACGTTTCATGTTCCAATTTTTAAGGTTCTAGAGTTATTTGTTTGAAAGGAGTTTACCTCGATGACCTGAGAGGCCCTGTCGTCTTAATCTGATTGACCTCCCCTGCCGGATCTTTGATTCCAAACTCCATGGTCATTAAGTAAATTATTGACTAGTGGGTCCATGACAATTTTGTACTAAGGATATCCATGCGGATCTTTAATGTGGTAGTCATACCATGGCTTTCCACATCTCAGTGCCATTGATTAATTTAGCTCTTCCGCCTTCGGAGTTAATTTCTCAGCTCCAGGGTAATGAAGTGCCCTACCACGTGTCGGTTCTTTGGGGATTACACGACAAGTAGGGATTACTTAAACCGGTAATTTCGCAAAAAAACATGATACCCTCGTTCCGGGTAGTGGCACCATTTTTTCAGTTTTAATCGCAAGACTCTTACAGACCAAAAAAAAACTCTTACACACACTGAAAACATTTTTGAAAATAATACACAGCAGCATTGTTAAAGCTCTTGAATATGAAATTAGTGAAACACAAATTGGCTTTAGAAATGGTATGTTATAGAGATGCTTTGTTCGGCTTAAATGTGCTGGCCCAGAGATGCATGGATATGAATCAGAACATGTACTTATGTGTTATAGATTTTGAAAAGGCATTTGATAAGGTTCAACATTAAAAAGCAAAACTATTGACAGTCGTGATATTAAAATTATATCTAATCTATATTGAAATCAAACTGCCAAGGTAAGAGTTGACAACCAGAACACCCAAGATATCAAAATACAGAAAGTATTCCGCCGGGGTTACGTGTTGGGTTGCGTGCTGGGTTGCGTACTGGGTTACGTGCTGTCATCATTACTATTCAATGTCTACATTAAAACGATATTTAAAGAATCGCTCTCAGGTTCAATAGAAGGTATATCTATCAATGGAAAAGTTTTGAATAACTTGCGTTTTGCAGACAATACAGTAATAAGGACGTATAACAACAATGATTTACAAAACGTAATGCAACGACTTAATGAATGCTGTCATGAATACGGACCAACGATGAATTTGATAATGCATGATAATGACTAAATCTGCAGATGCAAACATCCAATTGATTGTTGAGGATACTGTAATTTAGAGTGTGGAGAACTACAAATACTTGGGAATATAGATAACATCAAATGTTGACCAAATCAAAGCAATTAAGACATGTATAGAAATAGCACGTACATCAATCGTTACACTTAAAAAGCTTCTTTGTTGTCGAGATATAGGGTTAGGACTACGCCTAAGAATGCTTGGATGTTACCCATTCACTACTCTTCTTTATGGCTTTGAAGCATGTACATTAAAACAAGTGTATCTGAATAAGTTGGCCGCCTTTGAATTTTGGTGTTACAGAAGAATCCTATGAATATCATTGACTCAAAGAGTGTCAAACGCAGAAGGTACTAGAAGAATAGTAAATGAAGCTGAAATAATATTGACTATCAAAAGAAGAAAACTTGAGTACTTAGACCATTATAAGAGGGCAAATATATTGAATATTGCAGCTTATTATGCAAGGCAAAATTCGAGGAAGACGAAGAATATCGTGGCTTAAGAACTTAAGGGAATGGTTTGAATGCAGTGTGCAGAACTATTTAGAGCAGCAGTCAACAGGGTCTGCATAGCCATGATGATTTTCAACCTTTGACAGAAGATGGAATTTTAAGGAAAAGTAAAGAGAATTACAGCAGATTCCCAAAATGTTGCCCGTTTACTTCTGCTTAATTCTTCTTTTCTCTTTAGTAATATTATGTTTTAATTGCTGAATATTGGTAGATTTTGTTTTATTAACGATGTTTTTTAAGCGATTCCATAGAAATTAGCCTAAAAGATTCATCGATAATTAATAATAATTAATAAACTAATCGATAATGATCGATAACAATGGGTGTGTGGGGCTATTTGCTAGAAAATCATTTCGTCTTCTTTTTTAAAAAATTCAGAGCATTCACTTAACGAATCTTAAGACGTCCAAATACAGGTTTCACAGTATTGAGTGAAAATCTGAGTATATTAGCTCAATGAAAAGCTATTAGCTTATACTCAATGAAAAAAATATATGCAGTATCTGCGCTTAAACATGTCCAGAAATCAGCAATAACTGACACAAGCAAGATAATAACAAACACATATGATAATCAGAATAAATAGAATCATCCCCACTCTTTTTGTAACATTGGCGTAAAGCCAGGATTATTTTAATTTACCTTGCTTGGTAAGCTGGAATATATTTCTTGTGCAAAACTAGCTGCAGAGTGTAAACTTGACTTACAAGAGCATTTAAATAAGTTAGAAGACTAACCGTTTTGCATCCCCGTGTTCTTGTTAAATGTATTTTATTTTGATAAAAGTTTTATGATTTGTACAAACTAGCATACTTTTATAATTAATGTAAATCAGTACAAATAAAAAAATATTGCAAACAATGGTTACCTTCTCCATAATTGATTGTTCATTTTCAAAGCTCATCCATTGGTTGTTAAAATATTTGTAAGAAATTTTTTGTTCATCACTCCATACTGTAGTGTAGTTTGTATAATTGAGGCAAATCTACAAATGTAAAAAATAATAATTAATAAATGTATCATGAAAGTTTTAATTCCATATATTGGAAGTATTAAATATAAATGCATTTTAAGGTATCTGAATTTTCTTTATCTTCCAGAAACACATTTTTGTAATTTGTTGTAAAGCAAATTGCACATTGTTCACTAGAATGCATGTCGCGCTCGCTAAATCCCCGTGTCAGTTTTTACTAAGAGTCATATTAGGACAGGCATTATATTGGGTATTATCAAATATAGCATTTTTCATAAGTATAAAAATGCTTGCACGTCACAATTTATATAAAGTAGTGTCACTTATATTTAAAATTTCCAGAACTTCAACCTTGGAGTTTAAATTTTCCTAACACAGCCAATAATACGAAACCCACACGGAGCTGGTCGATCTTTCATAGGCGTCAACATGGTGTAATAATTAGAAAAATGTTATCATCATTATATTGGAAATTTTAGAATTATATTGATTAAATAACAAAAAACATTTGTTATTAGTAATAATTAGACTTCGGCAATATGCATATTGCATATTTTGCATATTGTGCATATTTTATGCAAATATTTCATATTTTGGCATATTTGTATAAAAGTTTGCATAAAGTGCATAAAAGTTCAGATTTTTATACTGTATTTGAAAATTTTTAAACATACCAATTTATTTCAATTCTTGTATAAAATTTTGTAGTCATTTTAATCAAGAAATGATCTAAGTACGTAATCTCTACAGGTACAAAACATTTACAATTTCAAAGAAGATAAATTTAAGTAGCCCTCAACATTCTTAGAAAGTCTCGGTCACTGAGGCATTCAGTTATTGGATAATCACTAAGGGTTCGCTCATTTGTATTTTATGATCTAATCCCCAAATCTATCCACAATTTATTGTATCTTAACAGCAGGTAAACGGCTAATAGTTTTGTTCCTAATTTAGGGATTTTCCAAAATCTACCAGTTTATTGAATTAGGTACCTAAACATTTCTAATTTGATGCTCAGATTTGTAAATCATTTTTGTTTTGATATTCAAAGCGTAAACACTCGTTGTGCGTAACAAAAAGGAAGATTGTGATTTTATAATGCCTAAAACAACCAGTGCTTTAACTTGGATTAAACCTTATAAAGAGCTGTCTATGGATATGGGAAAAATCTACTGTTCAGTCTGTGGCAAAATTGTAAGTATCTAATATTTTCTATTAAATATCTAATATTTCACACATACAGGGTGTTTCCAAATGACACTTACAACGTTTGACTGTAGATACTTCTCGAAAAATTGAACAAAACGATATAGTTAATGAGGGGTCAAACTTATTTACTTTTTGAGATACAGGGTGTTAAAATTAAAAAAAATTAAATTCTTTTAGTTAATAACAACAATAACTTTAAAACCAATAAACGTATTTACTTCAAATTTAGTACTCGTAGGTTGTTTTTAAATGAAAAATAGCTTCCTTTAGTGAGAAAAAATTGTACATAGTACAATACAATGGTGTGTATTTAGAAAAATTTTTCACCTTTACTTTTTTTTATGAAGTCAGCTATTCTAAAACACAATTATTTTTATTGTAATTGAATTAACAAAAAAAAAAAACTTTTGTTGAATTTTAAAATAAGTTATATGATGTACTAATGGTTAGTAACAAAAACTAATTTGTGGATTAATACTGCATTTAAAACACTTAGCGAGTGTTTTTTTTCCAAACCAGTTATTTGATTAACCAAAAACACCTTGTATATTTTTATATTTTAATGGTTGGGTTAAAATAAAGGTTTTTATTTTTATTTATAGATAGCATGTGAGAAGAAATTTCAGATAGACCAACATGTGAGAACTGCTTCGCACATTGCAAAAAAAGGAAAAATAGGAGGAAAACATCAAACTTCAATGGCTAAATGTTTCCAATCTACTTCAAAAAAATTAGATGAGCAAGAAACTTTTAATGAAGACTTGTGTCGCGCATTAGTGTCTGCAAACATACCGCTTTCAAAATTAGCAAATGTAAATTTTAGTTCGTTTCTAAAAAAATATTGCAAACTTAATGTTCCAAGTGATCGGTCTCTAAGAAGAAATAATGTGAACCGGCTATACTCGTCGGTGTTAATTAATATTAAGGAAGAAATTGCAGATAATTATTTTTGCATATCTGTAGACGAAACCACTGATTCCTCAGGAAAGTATATTGCTCATTTATTGATTGGTGTTCTTAAAGAAGATACCTTACCAAAATCTCATCTTATTTCATGCCAGCAACTTAAGAAAACAAATGCTTTAACAATTTCGCGTTTTATACAAGAAACATTAGCAACTTTTTTTCTTCCGACAACTATTCCTTCTAATAAATTGCTGCTTATTTTATCGGATGCTGCTCCTTATATGGTGAAAGCAGGACAAAATTTAAAAATATTTTTCCCAGATTTAATACATGTTACTTGTGTAGCGCATGGATTAAACAGAGTTGCAGAGGAAATACGAAAAAAGTTTCCTCTTGTAAATACCATGATATCCAGTGTCAAAAAAGTATTTCTTAAATCTCCTATAAGAATTCAACTTTATAAAGAAATGCTACCTTACATTCCTCTTCCACCACAACCTATTTTAACGCGATGGGGAACATGGTTAGAAGCAGCTAATTTTTATGCAGATCATTTTGTTAAAATAAAGAACATAATTGATACGTTAACAGATGAAAGTTCCCAATCTCTTTTGGATTCTAAACAAACTTTTCAGAGTAACTTGCTTCAACAAGAACTTTCATTTATAAAATCAAATTTTAGTTTTGTTCAAAAAACAATTACTCAGTTAGAATCACCAAAACTGTCATTGTTCGAAAGTACAGCATTAATAAAAGAATTTGCGTCATGTTGTCGGAACGTTAGAGGTAATATTGGAAAAGATATTTTAAAAAAATTTGAAGCTACTATGGAAAAAAATTAAGGTTACCATATTCTTTCTGAAGTAGTCAGTGTTCTAGCTGGAAATATTTCGGAAACAATTAATTTAGAACCAAATGTTTTGGTTAGTTTGAAAAATGCTCCCGTTACATCAGTTGATGTTGAACGAAGTTTTTCCATATATTTATAAATATATGTACTCAGACAGAAGCCACAAGTTTTTGTTAGAAAATTTTGAACACCACTTGGTCATTTATTGTTACCATAATTCTAAATAAGTTTATTCATACTTAAAAATGATGTATTTACTTAAAATAAATGTAAATCTTAATGAATAGTAGGAAATATTTAGTTATGTACACTTTTTTTTAAATAAAATTGTTACTATTTTACGATTTTTTTATTTATTTGTATGCATATTTTGTAAAATATTTGCATATTTTCGGGTAAACACGTGCATATTTATGCGCATATTTTCTAAATTTTTATTTGCATATTTGCCGAAGTCTAGTAATAATATAAGTTTTATGAAATAACTCTTTAAGTCTAATATTCCACAAAGTAATAATTTGAATTAGATGGATTTGACAATTGTACGCAACTGATACAGGAATACTTCAAATTTTATTGACAGTTCAGCGTGTGACAAAATCTTTTAAGTATTGCTGCTTTTTTAAAGTAAGAATTTTGTTTATTTTGATTTCTTACACAATTTGATTATAATATAATATATATTAATAAATTGTAATTATAAATATATATTAAATTTACACTAAGAGCTTTAAAAACTAATTATGGTTGTGCATTGTGATTGTGTTATGCCAAAACAAATAAATAGTCTGTAGAAAGCTGATAAACTTTCATATAAGATAGATTATTTTGAAGAAATAATGGCGGGATGTTTTTACTATTAAAGCCCTAAAAGAGCTAAGTTTAAAAATTAGAATATATAATTGTGTATTAAAATGATTTCTTTATTTTAGTGTGTTGCAGTGTGTTGTAGTAGTCTTAAAACTAAGTGTATTTACTGTTAATATAATAGTTTGACAAATAGTTGACATTTAAAAAATTCCTCACTAATTATTCTGATGTTTTGGCAACGCTGTGAGGTTTTGACGTCGTAAATCTTGACTGATGTGGAAGCATCTTTATATATGAAAAATATTATAGTCGTAAATAGCAAGAAAACTTAGACAGAACGGCATGTATCTTAGCAAATTTCTTACTATAGGGTGGACATGACACTTAGGCACCCTTTAAATGCCAAAACAGATACTTTCAGCCAACTAAATTCAGAATATTCTACCTTACAAAGTAGTTTTTAACTATGGTATGATATGCAATCGATAGTGGATAATTTGGGTAAGATCTTTGTATTTCTCGCTTTAAGTTCACCTTCGATCGATCAGTATTTTCTTCTTTACGTGCTACAAAGGTTAGTTACCATTATAAAAATATTAACTCTTTGCTGCTCGAGGCAGTTAAATAGAAATACAAGAGAACTGTTCTTCTAAGTTTCTCAACTTATTTTTCTTTTTTATACGTTAGGTCTATGACCCTGTGTTTGCAAATATTTTTTGGAAGTCATCTGTTGTTAACTAGTTGTACTGTAGCTAGTTGACTGAAGTTTATTCTTTAACTATACTCAGTATCTGTTTCATTATATCTCTTATTGTGTCATTAAATTTGCAATGGGTTATGATAGATGACCAGGTCATCTGCACAGCTCAAGACATGATGTCCGTTGTTGCTGAGTCTAGCCATCATTCCATCTATGACCAGATTTAACAAGAGATGAGATAAGAGCTCCTACTACGCATAACCTCTGGCTTATTGTGCTGACACTGTACCTCCGAGTTGCGTTGCGTATATAACACAGTTTCTCAGCTTGCTATCTATTTATCTGCAGTTTGTTTCGCCTATTTATTTGAGATGAATGCATATTAGGGAGGTAATTTTTAGTCTTATTTGTGATTCCGAAGACCAACTATCGTGCCATCTATTCGATAATATTCCTGGGAGTCTTTTCTGGTTTAATTTCTATCTCTTACAATTTTTACAATTATGTCTTCTTCCATTCTGGTTATATGTTGAATCTAATTACTTTCATATCTCACTACACCTTGGAAATTTCATCTCAGCTATTCTTAGGGTTTGTTTTGTTTTGTTTGTATCGCTTATATAAATATTGGTCGAACACAAGTTAAATTAACTTTTGTTTTTGTTTTTAATCCTATATGCTTCTTTCTCCACAATATATTCGTTAATTTGGTTACAGTGATTGCTGATTTTCTGACTTGGTTGACTGTTTCTTTAGAGATGTTTTGGTAGCTTGTTATATCAACTCCCAAATAATTCAAAGACATAATTCGTCTTCCTTTTCTTCTTCTTTTTGTGTAGACATGACTCGACTTATATGATCGTTCCATTCTACTCTACTACTACTACTTTTTACCCAGTCGTTGGTGTTCTCCAGGAAGTTGTTTTTCTCCCATTTGGTATCCTTCTTTAGTTCTTACTTTTTTATTATTTTATCCAAAATATCCACAACGTTTTTGGAATTAATATTCCATCATCAGTGTATCTAGATGTACATGTTTTGAACTACTAAATACTTGGGTAAAAACCCGTTAAATATTGTTAAATTGAATATCAGTTACATTATTTGATCTTATATAATAAGATGTTTATACAACAAGAATTGATAACATGGCAACGTAAGACTTTACTGGAGGTTGCTAGTCCTGAGACAAAGTGTCTACGAGGACTTGTTGATAGCAGCTGTTGCTATCAGTTGCTATTACAAAGCTCTGAACAGCTTCGCATAGAAAGAATAGGTTATTTTTGTTTTTGCTCTACTACTATACTGAGCCCCAATATAGAGCGAAAGATGTCAAAAGCTAACTGAAGCACAAGGTTTAAATCTGAGGAAACAGATCGTACTCATTTTAGTGCTACTCCTTATATTTAAAAATAACATTTTTAATAATTTCAATTACCTACCTGTCTATAAGTTAATGTTTCAGGATTTCCTACTCCAGTTATAAGTGAATGAAGTTCGTGGTTATTTGGATCAGCTAGGTTAAATATACGCCCATAAAAAGGCATTCCAATATTAATTTTGTCTTTTACAGCACCAGCTTTTAACCAATTTTGTAGACAAGCAGCTGTATTTCGGCGGTTTCTTTCATCTTCAGTCTCAAGAGAAGAACCAAAAAGTGCTGAATTGTGACCTGTATATTTACTCCATCGTCCATAAAAGACATAGCACATTAGATTTATCATATCAACATTTCTGAAATATAATGTAATATTTATTTTTATTTTTTCAAAATTTTCAACCCATTTAGGTGAAAAATTTAGAATTTTAATAAATAATTAAATGGAGATTAAATACTAAGGAATAGAATTAATAAAATGAATTATAAATAAAATTAAAAAGCTTTACTGAAATTTTAGTTTAAGCAAGTAAATTAATTTTTTGAACACTTTATTAATGGTCTATTTCATTTTAGTTGTATTTATGCCATCTCCTTTAGTACTGGAAACGACCTAAGGAAAATGAAGTCACAATCTAAAGGATATACGACATTAGGAATCTAATAAGGTGGGGTTCTGATTACGCTTAAAATATTGGGTTAGTGTACGTGTTTACGTTGTGAATAGTTTTCGCCCAGAAAGACTACCATAACACAAATATTTAACTGTTTCTATAAGATACACCTATCGAAAAAAATATCGAATAATTTGGAATCTTCAATTTCTTTTTTTTTTGAAAATAACTTTTGACCAATCAATTCGCTTATTGTAAAGAAGAGTTTATTTTAACAATTTTTAATGAACATAGTTAAATAAGGTTATTTTACTCTAACTTAAATGCTAATTTAACTTGCTCTTTTTCTATATTTCTCTACATTATTATCTTTGTGTGCCCTAACATGTACAATATTGATTTCTCTCTCTTGTTGTAGAATTAAACCAATGATGTGGCTTACTATTTTTTTCTGTTTTGGTATTTTTATCTTTGGTCAAGATAACTTTGTATTTTTTATAAGTCTGTGTAAGTAAGTTGTTCAATTCGTATTTATATTGATTTTTTTAGTAGTCGTTCACGTCACTGTTATGGCCAATGTCCACGAATGTTAGGCGTTATCCTATATGTACTAAAAATATGTAAGGGTGCGTTCATAACGGAGACCATGGCATCGTATTCTCGCCTAGGGCATAGTACTGACGGTAAACGCTCGCATTTAAAATAATGCATCTTTTTTACCGAAAATCGATAAGATGATACCATCCCATGGTCCGACCGAGGGTCGGCGCCTCGATATAAACGCACACTAATAAACATAATGTTCCTTTCTCACCTATCATAGGACCGCATATTTTTCTAGTGCATGGTAATGCTTGGCGCCTCGTGGCAGTAGATGTTATTCAGTACCTTGATAAAATGATAATTATTAAAACTTTAGACCGGGTCCTTACGCAATCTCGTCAAGAGTGCAATCTCGTCAATATAGCATGTCTGAGACATACTAAAAATGTGTATCTGGTATAGAAGTCCTTTCAAAATTTAAGCTGAATTAGAGCACAGAGAGACATATCTAGAGGTTCTGTCGCTCTGCTGATACCTAATAAGTTTGAAATACGTATAAGCGGTTTAATATACGTATAAACCAGTTCTTACAATAAGTTTTCAAAATGTGCTCCATCTATTTCCTAACAATAATGCATCCTATTTCTAAACTCTTGCCGTACTCGTTCAAATATGTCGGTGGAAATTGCCCTACATTCTTCAACAATTCGTTGTTTTAAAATATCAATATTGTCGGGTGCTGTACCGTAAACTTTAGATTTCAAGTATTCCCACAGAAAAAAATCTAATGGTGGGAGGTCCGGTGACCAAGCTGGCCATTCTATCGTACCTTGTCGCCCAATCCATCTAGCACGATATTCATCATCTAGGTAACGACTTACTGCAACACAATGGTGTGCAGGAGCACCATCTTGTTGAAACGTTATTTTCAAGTTGCCGAATTCATTTGGATTATCCTTCGTAATTTCAAGTATTAACGATTCAATTGCATTTTGTAACATCTTCAGATACACATTATCGGTTAAGTTAGTATTGAGAAAAGCAAGCTCAACTATGTGGTTTCCAAAAATACCTGCCCAAACATTTATTTTTTTTTGAGGAGACGTGAAAGACATGAGGATTTGTGTCACTCCAATACCTCACATTGTGTGTGTTAATATTTCTATTGAGCGAAAAAGTACTTTCGTCACTAAAACAAATTGTTTTTTTATGAAAACGGGCTGTTGGGAAATTTTATTGGACCTATTTTCACAGAACTCCAGTCTTCGGTTGGAGTCATGATCTGAAAGTTGGTGCACAATTTTTAATTTGTATGGATGAAATTTGTTTTTGAACAACACTCGGTGTACTGTCTTTTGACTAATTTCATAGATATATGCAACTTAGGCGGTAGAAGAAGTAGGGTTCACTACCATTTCTAAATTTATGTCGATTTTTTTGTCATCACTAATTGTTGGTCGACCAGATCGTTTTGACATTTTGACCATCATCATCATCAATCAGACCTGAGTTGTCCATTGTTGAACATAGGCCTCCTCTAGATTTATCCATCTGCTTTTGTTCTGCGCCCCTGCTATCCAATTGGTCACGATTCTTTTGAGGTCGTCGGTCCATCGCGTCGGGGGTCTTCCTCAGCTTCGCTTGTCAGCCCGTGGTCTCCACTCAGCAATTTTTTTGTCCAACTGTCGTCTTTCGACAGTTGGACAAAAGTCGACAAAGATAAGAGCAAGAGGTCTGCTATATTCGATAGACTTTTCAACTAGAGTTTTAAGGCATTGCAAATGGTCGTTTGTTCCGTGTCCCGCTCGAAATCCTGCCTGTTCTTCTGATTGATAGAAATTGAGTTTTGCTTCTAATCTGTTTGTCAGTATTCGAGTAAAGAGCTTGTATAGGTGGTTAAGCAAACTAATTGGCCTATAGTTTTCGAGATCTAATTTATTCCCCTTTTTGTGAAGAAGGATTGTAACCGAATTCTTCCATTTACTTGGAATGTTTTCGCTATGCAGACACAGATTAAAAAGTGTTTGGATTCGTGACATCAAAAGTGGACCTCCTGGTTTAATTGTCTCAATAAATACACCATCTTCCCCCGAAGCTCTATTATTTTTCATATTTTTGAGGGCATGTTGAATTTCCTCTCGTGATATATCTGATATATCCTCCGATCCTACATTATGTACCTTTTGTATTGGTTGTTCGATGAGCTCTAGAATAACTTGACTTTTATATAATGTTTCATAGAAACTTTCCACTACATGTAATATGCTTGGTCTATCTGAGATAATATTTCCATTTTTGTCTTTAAGTTGGAAGACTTCTTTTTTGCCATTTTCCATTTTTCTCCTCAATACTTTTATGCTTTTGTTGTCTTCTATAGTTTTTATAATTTTCTCGTTGTTGTATTTTCTAATATCCCGTCTGATGGCTTTAGAGATTTCTTTATTGATGCTGTTTATATCTTGTGAGTCAACATTTCCTTGACTTCTCAGCATTCTACGATCTTCTATTTTCTGTTTCGTTTCTTTACTAATTTTTTGTTCTTTTCCATGTTTAGGGCCAAATTTTTCTTGACCTTGTGTTAATGTGTCTACTATTTCTTCGTTTAGGTTATTTACATCTTCTCTTGTTGTATTTCTGAGTAAGTTACTGGTGATATATTTTTTCAAAGTCAAGTTCATTCGTTGGGCGCATCCAAGGTTTGAATTTTTTACTTTTTATCATCTTTAGTCTTTCTTGCTTAATATTGATTTCTACAGTTCCATTCTATGATCGCTTTCAACCGAAAATTGATTTAAGACTGTAACATCTTTGACTATATGTTTTTTGTCAGTGGATGATAAAGTCGATCTTATTTTTTGTATTAACATTGGGACTCTTGCAAGTCTATCTTCTATGGATCTTCTTATAGAGGAAGCTACTCATTAAATATAGAATGTTTTCTAATAGAAAATTTAAGAATATTTCGCCCTTTTTGTTTCTACTTGGTGCGCCAAAATTTCCGAGGGCATTTTCAGCTGGGTCAGTGCTTATTCCTAATTTGGCATTAAAGTCGCCATATATTACCGTAAAATGTTCTTGATCTTCTGAAACAGCTGTGTACAACTCATCATAGAACTGTTCTATTTCTTCGTCAGCGTGACTCCATGTTGGTGCATAGACTTGAATGATCTTTATGGAGTAACGGGTGTTTAGTTGTAATTTTGCAAGTATAACTCTTGTGGAAACTACTTTTACTGATATAATATTCTCAGCTAGTTTTTTATTAACAAAGATCCCAATGCATCCATTCCCATTGTTTTCTCCGACATAATAGAAAATGTGATCGGATTTTAAAGTGGTTAGGCTTTCTCCTTTCCTTCTGACCTCATCGACTCCAACAATGTCCCAATTGATTTTATCAAGTTCAGATTCTATTTCTATGAATTTTTCTTCTAATAGCAGGGTTCTTGCATTAAAAGTTTCAATTTTTAGAGATATATATCTGTTAGATGGTTTTCTATAATATTTCAGAATTTTGTCCCCCCCAGAATCCGTGTGACAGACTGATAGTATATCAGTGTGAGATTCTGAATTTTTCTTTCTACTTACCTGGGGTAAATCCGTTTTTGTATTCGTATCTGACATAATAAAGGGGTAATAGCAATTAAAACGTCACGCTTGCTTTGCGTGTTGACGAGTTTTTAGTTCAGCCGCCCATTATGGGTACAGACGCTGTTGACAACCGCCCAATATGGGTCAGACGCTATCGGTTTGATTTTATACCATCCCTGAAATCCAGGGATGCCACTTCCGCCATCCACGTCGTACCGAAGATCTTCTTCTCCGCCGTGCCTACCGTTGTGGTCTTCACCTGTACCCTAGGTAGGGGTCCGTGTTATACCCCACTGATTTATATAAAATCAACTTGACTAAACTTAAATTGACTAAACTAAGCAAAAACAGAAACTAAATATTCTGATATAAACGCGTTTGCAAACTAAAAATAACTAGAGAATTGACAAACGTCAACTTTTTTGACCAATAACCAAAAGCGAACGTTAGAATTTTTAATTAATTAAATGCCAGACTAGAATTTTAGTATTTATTAAATTTATTCGTCAAAATCATCTTTAGTCAATCCAAACAAAATTAGTATGATCGAATAAGCATATTAAAATAATTGTAGTTTCCCATTTAATCTCTGGTTAATTGGCAATAAAGTTGAGGTTGACGTAAAAACAATTAGAAAATTGAAAAACGTCAACTTTTTGAAAAGTAACCAGAGGCTGAGGATTTATTATTTATTAGTTAAATGCGAAACGACGACTTAAGTATTTATTTAATTTATTCATCAAAATCAGCTTGAATTCTAATTCAAGTATGGTTGAATAGGTATTTTCAGTATCTTTCAAACGAGGTATCACTTGCCATACGGTTTCATTTAAAATTATCTGTCACAGTGGCGCTGTAATGTCATTTGACACTATTACGTCACCTGTTATGACTAGTTTTTCACTATTATACGAGGGAGGGAACGTACTTTTGAATACTTACTCTGATATTGCTGTAGTATTATAACCAGCAGTCGGATAAGATTGTAGAGCAACAGTAAGTAAGTAATTATCTTTCTTTAACGCCAATTTTAGCTCTGCAAGAAGGTGTATAAAATTTTCCTTAAAAAAATTTAGAAATATTACGATAGATGACTATTTAGAGAAATCTGAAATATATTATAATAATGATAATTAAGAAGGATAAACAAACAATATAACTTTCATTATCCGAAATCAACGGGATAGAGAACTTCGGATAAAATAGTTGAACTTAATCTAAGTTTAAGGTGAAAAAAATAATAAAGATAATCAAATAAAAAACATCTTTCTAAATTACCAGACATACTTTAAATAAGCTTGATTCATCATCATCTTTTACTCGACAATCCTCTGTGGATCTTGGCCTGCTCTAAGATTCGTCGCCATTCTGTTCGGTTTTTGGCAACATGTTGCCATCTTCTGATTTTTAATATTCGTAAGTCGGTTTCTACTCCATCTAACCACCTAATTCGCGGTCGGCCTTTGCTTCTTGTTCCTACAGGTGTTCCTGTGGTTAGCTTATTAGCAATGGTATTTTCTGGCATTCGTATTATGTGTCCAGCCCATCTAAGTCGCTGTGTTTTAATAAACGTTATGACATCTGGCTCATCAAAGAGCTGATACAATTCAAAATTATATCTTCTGCGCCACTGCCCTTGGTCGTTTACAGCTCCAAATATTTTGCGGAGTATTTTACGCTCAAATATTCCCAAAAAATAAGCTTGATTATTGAAGTAAATTATAAAAAAAAATTCATGTATTACTTTTATCATACTATCTACATAAAAATTGAGGTGGATAAAAAATATAGTTAGATTTGCACAAAGAAGATACTTAATTAGATACATAGAAAACATCAGTAAATATTTAAAAGAAGAAAGCTATCTCAAGCATTTGCCCATAGATTTGGAATATACCAAAATATCTTTCAAAGAACTTTTTATATAGAAAAGACTTACCTTATCAACAATATTCGGATGTTCCCAGTCGACATCTATTCCATCAAAACCGTATTTCTTCAGAAAATTTACCGAACTTGTGACAAGTTTTTGCCTTTTTGTAGAATCTGCAGCGACTTGTGAAAAAATTTGAGGAGGAGTTTCTCCAAGACTTATTAAAACTTTTAACTTTTTATTTGCCTTCTTTAAGGACAATATTTTTTCAAACATTCCTACAACAAAATGTAAAGTACACTTATAAAATAAAGTGTACACTTATAAAATTAAAAACAAAAGAGTTAACTTTTGTAAGTGTGTTTCATTTTCAGATATGTATATATATGTAAATTATTGACTATTTCTTCCTCTCTGAACGCTTTATAAAACCCATAATAAGAAACCAGATCTACTTATGATATCTACACAAGGAATAACTTTTCTTTTTTATTAGTAAAAAAATATCTACGATACCTTAATATTAAATCTTAACCAACTAAACGAGAAAAAAAACATAAGAGAAACTGTATGCGAGCACTATTGTTCTTTTATTTAATTTTTGGTGATTCAATTTTTTAAAAGTATTTAATTTTTTAAAAGCATCCCCGTGCTAAAACAATTTGTAGGTTTTTATGATGTTATGAAAACTCTACGATAATTTAACATTAAAACTTAACAAACTAAACGAGAAAAAAAAAACAAAAATGCAAAAAAACTGTATGCGGGCACTATTGTTTATTTATTTAATTTTTGGCGATTTTTTGTTCGGATAAACCGTTTATATAATATGGAGGAGTTGTATTCGCAGCCTTGGTACTGTTGATTTTATAGTTATTGGTATTGTTGTAAAATTTATTTAGTCTTGATTTAAAAACCATTTAAATTAGATATTTCAGATATGCATTACAGATATATGGAGGATATTTTTTGCTTTAGAATCTTGACAAAGGCAAGGATTACCTGCCGAATCGTTGATATTAATGGAATAATAAAATCTAGTTCCAAGTTTAATATATGATATTCCCATTCCGTTCCAAGATATACTAATTTTATATGATATTCCCATTTCCCACATTTTGATTTAATTATTTTGTTTCTTTCTTTGACAGTCAAATATTAGACATGACTCAATCTTCATTTTTTAAAATAATAACGTATAGTATAGAACACTGGTTATACCGGTTATACATAAAACATAGGTTAGGTACATCCATGATACTATCAACTTCTAAAGATAAACCCACGCGCACGCGATCAGTCTATCTCTTTTGCACGTGTGACGTCACTTGGCGACAAATATCACCAGAAAAGTTACTACTTTTATTTTTAAAAATACTACTACTTTTTTATGTAATTTTATTATCTATTTAAATTCTATTAATTTACATTGCTAGGCTAACAGGGACATAGGTATATATAACACAGTTTTACAAGTTTTAATTGCAGATATTTTACCTTACATGCCTAAATATTCTAAATATTTAAATAAAAACCCTCTCTTTCCATATATGATTTACCGTCAAGTGGAACTTTTATCACTAAGTGACGTCATGCGCATGGACGTACAAAATTCGATTACGAAGTGGGTTTATCTTGGAAGTCATAGTATCATGGGTTACACCGTTACAGCATAGACCTGATAAATGAAATGTAATTTGAAAGTTTTCAGTTTCAGAAAATTTCAGAAAATTTCAGACAGAAATTGTATTAAAGTTTTACCTTACTTTTATCAATATCTAGTGACTTTTTCCAATGTGCCAAATTCCCGTCACCATCAACTTTCACAAAGGCGTAGTTTAAATGAGTGCATAGTTTCCCATCAAGTAATTCCGGTGGTGCAACATGAAGTCCATATCCACATAAAAAGTAGCATACTACATTTTCTACAAATAAAACTTATATTAAAAATTATTTGTGTTGTAACTCGGATTAGTACCATTCGAAAAAAATTGACAAGTTGTCTTTTTTTATTTTTATTTGGATACTTAAGACAATTAATTCAATAAGTATCTTTAAATTTTTAACAAGAAACTCTGAGCGGCTTGAAGCTACAATTTACCCAAATGCTGGTGTTGCCTTTATATTTTCAGTTTTGGTTTGTGGAAGGTACAACAGCACGGGTTTGGATTTATAGTTTTTGGTCTTAAAACCTCTTTACTGTAGTTTTTCTTTAATAAATTCATGTATTTGTAAAAGTAAATAACTTTTATTTCTCACATATTAGTTTAAAGTATAAGCAAATGGAGTTTAATCGCTTCATAAGTTTTATTAGGACATCTTTTTTGGGCTCTACTTTATTCTTAGATCCTATTGTCTAAGCCGTTATTAAAAAATAGTACTTTCTTGTTTCTAATGAGAGCAGCTTTGTAATTTCAACTTCCAACATCTTAGTATTTTCGAGAGCAAGTTACAGATCTGCTCTTTTTTTATAATTTCTTCATTGGAAGTACTTCTGGAGGGCGTAATTTGGTTAACATATTGTCATCTAATATAGGCTTCTATCCCAATATTGCAGTGATTGATATCTAATCAAACAGTAATAAGAATAAATAAGAAATACGCAATGAGATTTACTACAATCCCATTTTTACATGAATTACCAGATTGTTCTACAGCTAGTTTAAACTAGTTGTTACTGCATGATATATAAACATCACTTAAAATCTTCATATACAGGGTACTTCAAAAAGGTATGTCATAAATTTAATTACACATTCCGTGGACAAAAATAAATTGATTAAATAAAAACTTACCTTAATACAAAGTGTACACAAAAAAGTTACAGCCCTTTGAAGTTACAAAATAATTTTTTTTGCATTAACTCCTAAACTACTTGACATTTTGTAATAAAAATGAACACGTTACTTATTTGTTCTGAAATTATTTTTCATAAAAAAGAAACAACAAAATCTAAGCGCGCAGAAAAATTTTAAGGGTGGCGCGTGCAGCCTGATTTAATTTATGACATACCTTTTTGAAACACCCTGTACTGACCGGGGACTTCTTTTTTAGTCGCTGTTTACCACAAAACCTATCCACTATATCATACACTTGATCTAAATAAATAAGCTTGTATAAATAGTAAGACGGTTAAAATGCATATCAATGCGTTCAAGATGTTCTATTTATTGAAGACGACTGCTTTGAATCCCCTAGATGCTCCAAGAATAAATTAACAATAAGAAAAATAAACTAAGACAATTAAAATCAGATTGAAAACGCAAAAAACTACACAAATATTATTTGGTATCTTATATATATAGCGAGTGTTTGCAACTTTAATTTTGTCGCTTCTCGCATCCCAATCGCCATAATTTCTTATCGGCCCAGTCTCCTTCTTGAAGACCTCTATTTTCCATTTCTATATGAATATTGGATATCCATTTCTTTCTTGGCCTTCCCTTTTTATTTCTCTGTGTAGGTCTCCAGTTCCAAACCTTTCGTGGTATCCTTTCTTCGTTCATCCGTCTCAGGTGTCCATACCATTTTAATTGTTTTTCGGCTATCGTATCCTCACTTCAAAATTAATGAAAAAATATTATTAACACATTTAGCGCCACGCTGTAATTGGTTATTCACTCCCTGGAACCAAACATATGAAATGCCTTTTTTTCTATAAATCTATTTTGTAACTGATAATTATTATATTTTAAACCATACTTTCTTTTTCCAACTTTGTTTTTTGTGATTTTTTTTAATGCCCACCAGTGGTCACGTGGTCCCAGGATGTAATTTTACAGTGTGGGACCAAATGTCCACCAGTGGTCATGCATTTTATTGTTTCTTTTGTTGCAGATTTTAAACAATAATGCCAAGAAGAGGTCTTACAGAAGAAGAATTGCTTCGGGAGTTGGAAAATTTGTCTGATGTTGAAGCAGAAGACTATTCCGACGACGACTCCACTGCAGATCGGAATTACTCATATGAAGAAAGCTTCTATTCAAGTGAGGATGAATTAGCTGTATCTGATATCGAGGACGAAGCTGCTGAAGTTGTTCCTCTGGCCGATATTATACCCGAGACCAAGTGGGAGCCTGTGGCAGGAGACAGATTGAAATTTAATTTTCTTGCTGCCCACACCGGTGTACACGAAAATATAATCCAGAAACTTCGTGGTGCATCTCCTATAACTTATTTTGAACACTTCATAGACGATGAGATTATCTCATTGTTAGTGGAAGAAACCAATAGATTTGCTGCGCAAAGAAATACTGCGAATGATGCTGCCCCAGCAGGAAGCCAAACTCCAAGACTTAATAAATGGGTTGACACTGATCCTATCGAGATGCGCAAGTTTTTGGGTATCGTTATATGGATGGGACTTATGCATTTGCCAAAATTGAGGGATTACTGGAGCACAAAAAGAGTTTATGAAAATGGAATTCCAAAAATAATGAGCCGCAATAGATTTGAGATGTTACATTCGATGTTTTATCTATCAAATAATGAGCAGCCAATTAATTCAGAAAACAGGCTTCACAAAATCTCAAATTTTTTTAACTTACTAGAAAAGAAATTCAAAGAATCGTATAATCCCGAAGAAGAAGTTTGTATTGACGAAAGCAACGTACCATTTCGAGGACGTATTTATTTCCGACAGTACATTCCTAATAAAAGGCATAAGTATGGGATAAAGGTTTTCAAACTCTGTGTTTCTGGAGGCTATACATGGTCGTTTAAAGTCTACACAGGCAAAGAAAGAGCAGACGATGTATCAGTTGCCGAAAAAATTGTCACGACACTGATGGAGGGACTTTTTGATACAGGTAGAACTTTATATACCGATAACTGGTACACTAGTGTTTCGCTGTCTAATAGTCTCATTCAACGGCAAACACATTTAGTAGGAACCCTAAGGACAAACAGAAAATATAATCCCCCAGATGTGGTAAAAACTAAACTGAGAAAGGGTGAAGTCGTGGCCCAACAAAACGAAAATAAAACAGTTGTCTGCAAATGGAAAGTAAAAGAGATGTTCTTATGCTCAGTACCAAACATGACGACTCTATGGTGACAGTAACTCGCAGAGGAGGACAAGAAGTTAATAAACCAGCGATAGTTGTAGATTACAACAAAGGAAAAGCTTTTGTTGACCAGTCTGACCAGATGGCCTCTTATGCGCCATACGTGAGAAGAACCGTCAAGTGGTATAAGCGACTTGATTTTCATTTTGCTACTGCAACAGCTATGGTAAATGCTCTGCATCTATATAACAAAATTAATAATAACAAAATGGGCATAATAGAATTCAAAGAAAATATCATCGAGGCTTTGGTTTATCAAGATTTAAATCCAATTCTATCAAGGCCTTCCACTTCCAAGATAAAACATTTCCTGAAAGAATACGAGGGACAAAAGAGGGTTACCAGAAAAATGTGCAGTGCATGCTACAAGACTATGTCTCAGCGACAAAATCCAGCTTATGCTCGTAAAAATGCGAAAAAAATAAATACATATTACGATACATGTAACCTGCCAATGTGCCTCGAATGTTTTCAAAAACATCTGGCAACTATCTCATTTTCAAAAGTTTAATTTTTATTATTTTTGTTGTATTACGTTAACATTGCTGGTTTTTTAATGTTTTGCTCACTTTGTTCGTTTATTTGTATTAATATTAGGATAAAATTCCATTTATTTTTATAATATACTATCTAAAAATACAAAATTGTATCAGTTTTTGGCACGGCTCAAAATCACAACTGATACATTCATTCTGCTCGGCCCATGTAAAGTTCTGTTATTTCCTGGGACCACTGAATACGTCAACATACGTCAAACTAATATAAATCGTGTCCACGGGTGACCATGGTGACTTGAAGCAACCGACATCAAATGCTCACCGGTGGGCACTCGGTCTTAATGGAAATAATGAAAATGCCCACCGGTGGGCACATGGCGCTAAATGTGTTAACAAAATGGCTCACGTTGAAAATAAAATGTTGTACTTACGACCTTTTGACTGACATGATACTACTTTTAAAATGATAATAAAAATAGGTATCACGAATTTAAAGAAATGCATCATCTCCTAAGTAACACTGTTCCGGCTAAAATGTTATACTGCCACTATTAAAATACATTTTAAAAATTCTACCTATTTCTTTGTGACATTAAACCACAATAACACAGTTTGGAAAATCCCTCTTATCTGTAGGAAACAAATCTACATAAATACATAGACAATTCTTATTTTATATTTGTATCAATTAAATTAATTAAAATTCATGTTTAATTGCAATATTTATAAAAAAAATAATTATAGTATAAACGTCAATAGTTGCAAAGTAGTCGTACGATGTAGATATAGTTACGAATATATTTGTTTCAACATAATGACGAAGGACTCCAAGCTCCCCCAATCTAGCCTAGCCGGCCGGACCCAAAGGACAAAAAAGCTTTGGGATTAGTACAATTGCAACATTGTAGAACAAGTAATAAAATTCAATTACCCAGGAGTAGAGATTGTCAAGAAGCGTAAAACGTCTTATCTTGGACACATATTTAGACACGACAGGTATAACTTCCTTCAGCTTATTATAGAAGGGAAAATAGAAGGCAGACGGGGCCCGGGTGGAAGACAAACGACCTGGCTGCACAACATCAAAGATTGGACAGGATTAGACTTTCAAAGTTTATTAAGGAAAGCCCAAAATAGGGAAGATTTTGCAGAGGTCATCGCCAACCTTCGCTAAGAAGACGGCACCCAAAGAAGAGAAGAGGAGTAGAGATCACTAGTGACAGGGATATAAGATCAAAGACCACAAGGCAGGTATCAAAAGCGGCAAGAGTATGTGGTTACCTCCGAGAAACCATATGGATAAACAAATATCTAACCACGGACACCAAAATGAAAGTATGCAAGACAATAGTAAGACCGATCCTAACATATGCAGCACAGACAAGGACCGATACAAGAAAGACGAAACAACAAATCAACAATATCGAAATAAATGTATTAAGATCAATATCGTTAAGAGACAGACAAACCAACAGAAGTATACGCGAACAATGCAAAATTCAAAATATTAACAAATGGATAAAAACAAGAAAAAAAAAACTGTAACGAACATGTAAACCGAATGGGACCAGATAGATTAGCGAACATCTGTAAAAACAACAAACCGTATAGCAGAAGACCCATTGGAAGGCCGCCAAAAAGGTGGAAAGATAATGTACAGTCAACAAGGACTGAAACAGAATAAGAGGCAGACAAACAGGAGTAATCCTAGTCGCACGAAGAAGAAGAAGAAGAAGTTAGTACATGCCAGTTTTTTTATTTGTAATTTTTAATGTAACGTTATCTCAGCCTGAGATAATAATTATAGACTGAAATATAAAAAATGAAATAAAATGAAGGGCAGATGGCTCAAACCATGAAAGTCCTTCTGATATTATTATGAAAAACCCTCCTATAGGGGCTGCATGACCTTGACGTAGGTTCGGAGGCTTAAGCTGACTGTTAAGATAGGGATGTAGTCTGGCGTAGGAAGTGGAACAAGTATGTGTGTGAATGAATGGGATCTCCCTAATAAGGAGCTCTCCGCTGAATGAAGGTATTCCCTATAAACGGGCTAGGCCTGGTGAATGGGAAGTATAGAAAGATGTGAAACGACCACGCTAGAACAGTTCCTGTCGCCACATAGCTCTCTGGGGTATCTACAGATCTCTCCTTGATCAGCGACCAAGAAGCAGCCTACCCAAGCTAAGGTGTGAGGTAATCGTGAAAATGGCTGTATGGCCACAAGGTTTTTTGTGGTCGTGAACGATCCCCTTGGGAAGTCAGGCAAACCCCATTGTATAAAGCCTTCCCCAGGTAATGCGGGGCTATGCCAGGGCGACCAACCTTTCCCTAGCTACTCGTGGGAACAACATGAATACACAAAACAAAAAAAATCCAAAACCAAATTTCGAAGATGGACCAAAACGTTCACCTCAGTCTGAAGCCGCAGTTGAGGATGGACAGCAATGTTTACCTCTAATCTCGTCCCAACAGGAGGCTGGACCAAAACGTTCACCTCAACCTAAAGATGGAGCTAAGGATGAATAGCAATGTTCACCTCAAGTTTCGGCTCAAGCGGAGGATGGACAAGGACTACCTCAGAAAAATCGGCCTAAACGCCTCAGAATTTGCAGCGCAGAGGCAAAAAGAAGGAGGAAGGCTAGAGAGGCGATGGGAAAAGCCCTTACGGGAGTTGCTCATCTCGCTCCAGCCCCTCCAGAAACAAAGGTGAAGGTGCCCACATCGGAGGCTGACAACGGTTCCACCTCCAAAAGAGAACAGGGACCAACAGCCCCTGGTGTGAAGCGCCATCACCCAAGTACCTCCACGGAAGGTACTCCGAGGAAGCATAAGAAGTCACGAAGTGGTGGAAATGCCGCTGCGCCTTCCCAAAGCTTCGCGGAAGCCGCCTTAAGACATCTTAAGGTCGCTATTATAGATAACTAAACCCGTATGAAAAGATCACTGTTGACCGGGCAGCCTGATCGAGGAATTGGACAGAACAATCTTGTCCACCTCCACCAGCCAGGTAAAAGCACCCACGTTCAAATCGTGGTCTTACTCAGGTGAGATCATCAGAGTAGCTTGCGTGGCTTTAAAAGGATACAGCTGATCTCAAACCGTGAAAGGAAGCATCACTGGCTGTTATCAGTCAGGTTAAGCTCCCAAAACTTACCAAAACCTCTCTATGGATCCCGGAGGATGCTAATACCACCTCTAATGACCCAGAAATTGTGCTGCGAAGGTTAATAGCATAAAATCCAGACATGGCAGTTGCAAGATGATGCACCTTCCACCATGAGATAAAAAAGGATACTAAAGGACACCTGTTTGTCTTCGGAATCGGAAACGATGACATGGCTGTCTTTAGGAAAAGGACAATGAGGCTGAGCTACGCGTTTACCTCATTGACTCTAAAAGCAAGCACCAACAAAGTGAAGGACACCTCCTCGGAACCAAAAACCTCAGACACTCGGCAGCCGACGAGGGTTGCTGATACTGAGACACTCCTAGTCCCACAGCAGGGAGAAGACCATCAGATGATGGTCGACGAACTCTGCAGAGGAGGCTCTGAAACTACTAAGGCTGCCCTCTCCTCATCCGAGGAGGAAATATACACCTAAAAGAACCAAAACGATACCTAAGCCATGGGCAAGGACGTCGGAAAAAATAAGGTTACTATTATTCAATGCAACCTTCAATACAAAAAGGTGGCAACGGCGACACTAGGTTGCCACCTAGATGTAACGGAGGATGCATTAGCACTTATTTAAGAACCTTGGATAATTAAGACTAAAATAACTGGTCTTAATGCAGCCACCCTACCACCAACAAAGGAAATTGAAGATATGGTACACCATTGTCTTAGTCAAAAGGTAGAACTTATTATCGGCTGCAATTGGAACTCTCTCCAGTTAGGCTGGGACAGCCGAGAAAACAACGCTCGAGGTAAGTCTCTTTATGACTATATTATAAGAAAAGATATGTATATCTTAAATAGAGGCACCGAACCTACCTTTATTAATGTTCGTAGCTAAACAGTCATAGAAATCAAGCTAGCAACAGATGAAATATCGAATAAAATTCAGAACTGGCATGTATCGGACGATATCTCTATGTCTGACCACCGCCGGCTAATTTATAATATTAGTCTGGAAAAAAGCCTAATCAAATCGCACGACTCTAGGAGGACGGATATAGAACTCTACAACCGACTCTTAGTACCTATCTCCGGTATCTATCCAAAATAAAATAAGCTATGCTTATAAAAAATCCTGTCCAATAAGGATGATCCAGGAAAGTCGCAAAACCAACTCTTGGTGGTGCACTGTATTGGAGTACCTTAGGAACATAAGAAGAAGAGCTTTTAATAGAGCAAAACGCACCAAACTCAAAGAGGATTAGGATTCTTATCAATCAAATCTCAAAGAGTTTAAAACAGTCTGCAGACAAAGGCTGTTTGGAAAACCTTCTGTAAGGAAATCGAAGATTTCCCGCAGGCTTCCAGGCTACAAAAAGTGCTCTCAAAGGACCCACATCGGCATATCGGCATATTAACGAAGAAAGATGGAAACAAAACTTCAAACCTTTGTGAAAGTGCTGAGGTCCTGATGAAAACACACTTACCCGGTTCTAGTGTCTCAACAGCACCAAACTGGATGGAAGAATACTAATACCCTCAATAAACGACTGGTACCTCGCCAGAACAATGATTAATGAGGAAAAGGTAAAATGGACCATATTGTGCTTCACCCTTTTTAAATCACCAGGGCCTGACGGCATATATCCAGCTCTACTACGGTGGGGACTGGATATTCTTCTGCCGCATCTCGTGGAAATATTCAGAATCTTCTTTGGTTCTCAGATATATTCCTAGGAAGTGGAGAGAGGTACGTGTGGTCTTCATACCAAAACCTGGTGGGATGGACTACACCATACCAAAGGCTTTTCGGTTGAAAACGATAGAAAGGTTATGCGAGAGGTACATAAGGGATGAAGTTCTGGTCCATAAGCCACTTCACCCAAATCGGCATGCATATACTTCGGGAAGATCTACTGATTCTGCACTACATCATGTAGTGGGAAGAATTGAAATATTGCTGGATAATAAAGAATCCACCCTAGGTATATTCATAGACATTAAGGGAGCATTTGATAAAACCACATTCCCAACCATCAGACAACAGCTAAACGTCAGGAATGCCCCTGGCCGTAAGCGAATGGATATTCAGTATGCTCGTCAATAGAGCAATAAGCATTAATGTAGAAGACGTTTCTGTTAAAGGCATGTTTACGAGGGGGTGTCTACAGGGAGGGGTGCTATCACCACTCCTCTGGACATAGTTCTAGATAACCTGGATGACCAACTCAGCAGCAATAGTTGTTACACAATATCCTATGCAGACGATATTCAGATCACTGAACCTTAGAATAAAGTAGAGTATGGGCAAAAATACCAGCCGAGTTCAGACATAACTGGCTGGTATCTCCATACCCGCAAGAGAGATAACCCAAAAATATATAGCAGAGAAAACTATAAGGATCTGCACAGATAGCAGACAAGCGCTACTAACCTTGAATAGACCACGTGTCACATCAGGGTTCAATACCATCATCCTGAGGTGGGTTAAAGGACGCAATAGGAATAAAGGCAACCGCATTGCTGACCAATTGGCTAGGAAGGCAGCAGCCCTAAGACTCTTAGGTCCTGGAGATCTATTTGGTCGGTCAACTACAACAATAAGAAAATTGTCAAATGTCACTCCCATGCGCAAACCGTAAAGAGATGGGAAGAAATGCAAGGATGTAAACTTGCCAGGGTAACACTAAGTAACCTTGAAAAGTCAGCATCAAAGAAGTACATGGGAAAAACTAGGAAAAAACTACGCTTGACAGTTGGTTTTTAACTGGTCACTGTCAACTAATCAAACACCTTGACACACTGGGGCTAGCAGATACACCCCTATGTAGAAAGTGTGAACGAGAAAACGAAACTGTAGAGCATGTCCTATGTGAATGCCCGGAGTTATCGTTGATACGAGAGTTCGCGTTCGGCGAGTCCTGACCCACACCTGTCCACATAAGAGAGATGTCTCCTAGTGACTTGTCCACCTTCTTAGATATGGCAGGATGGACAATGAGCTAAGGGCGACAGCTCCCTGGGAGGATGCACAGTGGGTCAATTGTGGCCTAAGTGCTGTGAAACTTAACTCGCCCTCCCTACTCTACTGATACAGAGATATTATGAGAAAACTTAAATTGTAAATTTAGGGACTTACATGCATAAAATTGGTTAAGATAAATCTTAATTTATTTATCAATTACACTTGCAGGCAAAGTCCAAAATGAAGTTATATTAATTAGATTAGGCTTATAACCTTAAATGTGTTTCCTTTTGTTTATCTACCTTATAGTGGTCTACCCAGTATTTGTATTAAAAAAATGCTCAGAACCATCCTCTCGGCGAGAAAAGTGTGACCCTTATCCTAGTCCCAATATGCTTATTATGATTTATTTCCCAAAAAAAATTACGTTGAAAAGAAATAATTTTAACAAATTGTTAGGTCAGGCTGAGATAACCTTACATTAAAAATTACAAACAAAAAAACTGGCATGTACTAATCCCAAAACCAAAAAAACAGCTTGTGGATTTTTCTTCTACGGGTCCGGCCGGCTGGGCTAGATTGGGGGAGCTTGGACTCCTTCGGTAATATATTGAAACTGAAACAAATATATTCGTAACTTAATATATTTACATAGTACTACTTACTTTGCAACTATTGACGTTTAGACAACAATTAAATTTTTGTATAAATATTGCAATTAAACATGAATTTTAATTAAGTTAATTGATACAAATACATAATAAGAAATGTCTAAATATTTATGTAGATTTGTATACTACAGATAAGAGGGATTTTCCAAATTATATATTTATTATTAACTATATATATTAACTTGCAATCTATTAACATATTTTAAAAGATAAATAGTACCAATTGTGGTTTAATACCACAAGGAAATAGGTAGAATTTTTTAAATATATTTGAATAGTGTCAGTATAATATTGTAGCCGGAACAGTGTTACGTAGTAGATGATGCAGTCTTTTAAATTCGTGATACCTATTTTTATTATTATTTTAAAAATAGTATCATGTCAGTCAAAAGGTCGTAAGTACAAAATTTGATTTTCAACGTGAGCTCCTCGTTTTAATAATATTTTTCATAAATTTTTGAAGCGAAGATTGTATACTGGCAGTTGTATTATTTTTTTAATATAGTAATGAAATAATTTTCGATATAGGTACAAAAGAAACAGTTTGTTTGTGATTTTTTTTACTATTTTTTTGTCCTGTTTTTGCATTTAGACGTTATTTATATTACACACAGTGGTTTTTACAACTAATTTAATAGTGGAGTTTAAAATTTTATGGTAATTGTATTTTACTTTGCCGTAATTTACACAAACCGTTTATATTATTTACACAGTTAAATAATATTTTTGTTTAAGTTTCCGGAAAAGTGAAAGATATGACAAAAAATATTTTATTGAATTTTTTTAGGTTATGCCTAATATGTAATATAATACTATTATACTACATCATTGTAGCTGTAATTCCGCACAAAAATTTTAAAGCCAAACTAACATTTTACATTATATTTATTTGATAATGTCAAATTTTATAATCCGTGACCGTAACAGTAGTCACTTTTTGTCATTTGCTGCCGCGTGAAGTAAATTTTGTTTGCTTTAAATAATGACGTATAGGTAAAGAACCATGAACTCAATTGTACCTTTTATATTTGAGGCTGTATTTTTCTGCTATAATCACTATTGTGAGTTTGGGTGGCACCCTCTTCTTCTTCTTCTTCTTTTTTTATATAGACATGACCGTCTGTTTTTCAATGTACCTCTAGTAAGTTATCATTTCATCGTTTTCGTGGTCTTCCTATTGATCGTCTTCCTATTGGGGAACTGTCTCTTGCCGTCTTTACTACTCTATTTATTGTCATTCGGCTTATATAAACGTTCCATTCTACTCTTCTATTTCTTATCCAGTTTTTGATGTTCTCCACCTTGCATGTATGTCGTATATCTGCACTTCTAGCTCTGTCCCATAGTGTCTTACCATCAACTTTTCTAACAGTTTTCATCTCTGCTGTTTTTAACATTCTTTTTGTCCTCTCTGTGCCAGGTCTCGTTTCTGCCACGTAAGTCATTATTGAATGAAATCGTAGGCTTCCATGGCCAGAGTCAGAATTATAGTTTATTCGTCTTCCGGGTTTGGACCGTGTCATTTGTGAGTGACCCAAAAGTGGGTTCATCTTGACGTTTCGCTACAATTGTATGTAGCTTCTTCAGGAGAACAAAGAAAAAGAAATCAAAAGACAGGAAGATGGGTAGTTAGCAACGGTAACTCAGTTACTCAACGCAACCAGAGGCGAATACTAATTACCAAGATGGGCATTTGGTCACAGTAACTCAACTACTTAACGCAGCCAGAGGTGAAAACCAAATGCCAGGACAGGGATTCACGTCCAACAGCTCAGAACACTAACGCGTCGAGAGGCGGGGAGTGAATCCCCCGGAGGCGTTAGTGTTCTGAGCTGTTGGACGTGAATCCCTGTCCTGGCATTTGGTTTTTACCTCTGGCTGCGTTAAGTAGTTGAGTTACTGTGACCAAATGCCCATCTTGGTAGTTAGTATTCGCCTCTGGTTGCGTTGAGTAACTGAGTTACCGTTGCTAACTACCAATCTTCCTGTCTTTTGATTTCTTTTTCTTTGTTCTCCTGAAGAAGCTACATACAATTGTAGCGAAACGTCGAGATGAACCCACTTTTGGGTCACTCACAAATGACACGGTCCAAACCCGGAAGACGAATAAACTATAAGTCATTATTGGTCTGATGACTGTTTTGTAAATTCTGCCTTTCGTTTCTTTCCCGATATTTTTATTTCTCCATATTGTTTTATATAGGCAGCCTACGGCTCTGTTTGCTCTATTTACTTGATCTTCCACTTCGGTTTCCAGTTTTCCGTAGCTAGATAATGTGATGCCCAGATATTTAAACTCCATCACTTGTTCTATTATCTGATTTTTCAGCTCCAATTTATATCTTAGTAAATTTGCTGTTGTAACCATGCATTTTATCTTTGTTGCGGAAATTAACATGTTAAATTTTCTGGCGGTTATATTAAATTGATGCAGCCAACGTTGTCAATTACCTTCACTTTGAGCGAGTAGTATTGCGTCGTCTGCATAGCAAATTATTTTAAGTTGTTGGGTGGCACCCAAATACTGGAATTGTTTGACACATTCATACTTTTATGTTTCCCTAGATAAATCTCGCCCTATTCTGTCTCTGTATGCCCTACAGCTGATATGTATATATCCTGTCTTCTCTTGATTGATGTTAAGCCCTACATTTTGGCTTTCTCTCCTATTCTCCTTTTCATTTCATTTCCTTTGTATTGGTGGTACTACTGCATATGCTCATAGTGTCTGTGTCATCAGCGTATGCCAGAATCATCGATAATTTAGTATTCATATCTTCTTCTTCTTGTAGTGCTTATCCGTTACGGATGTTGGCTACTAGCATGGCCATTCTAACCAGAAAGAAGATATTCTAGCCAGAAAGAAGATATTCTTCTTCTTCCTGGTCCCCTCTTTCCGTAGACCTTTCCCTGTAATATAAGTTTTAGCAGGTTATGTCTATGATCGTTTCGCATTATATGTCCAAGATATTCTAGCTTGCGCTGTTCCACTGTGACTATAATTTCACATGTTTTATCCATCCGACGTAGAACCTCAATGTTTGTTAATTAGTCCACCCAGGATATCCTCAGTATCCGTCTATAACACCACATCTCAAACGCCTCGAGTTTTCCCATGGATGCCTTGGTTAGTGTCCATGATTCAACCCCATAGAGCAGCACTGTAAACACGTAGCATCTGAATAAACGGATTTTCGTCGTTAAAGGTAGGTCGTGGTTCTCAAATATCTTACTCATTCTGAGAAACGCTGACTTGGCTTTTTCAATTCTTTGTATTATCAACTGAGTGGTCCGATTGACCGTTTATTGTGGTTAATAAATAGTAGTAATGGGGCACTTGGAGTATTTGTTGCTGATCTACCAGTTATTGACTAGGTGGAATATGCTTCTTACTGATGAGCATGTACTTTGTTTTCTTGATGTTAAAATCAAGCCCGTATTCTTGACTGATTCTCCACAATTGCGTTACTAGTATCTATAAACCTTCTAACCTGTCTGCAAAGAGGATGGTGTCGTCTGTATATCTGATGCTATTCAGGCGCTCACCATTTATGAGAATACCCTCTTCGATATAAGGCCTGGCTAATGACGTGTTCTGAGTAGACGTTAAATAATAGGGGAGAGAGTATGCAACCCTGTCTTACTCCTCTTGATTGCAACTTCCTCTGTTAGTTTGTCTTTCACCAAAAATGGTTGCTGATTGGTTGTAGTATATGTTCTCGATTACTCGAAGTTATACTCGAAGTTATGCCTTTAATATATCCATGAGCTTATCGTGCTTGATTCTGTCGAAACCTTTCTGGTGGTCGATAAAGCATACATAAATATCGCAGTTGACGTCTCTGCACCTTTGAAATAATACCTGAACCGCGAACAAGGCTTCTCTTGTACCTAACGCATCCCTGAATCCAAACTGCGTTCGTGAGATCTGTGACTCGCATTTCTGATAAATTCTTCTGTGTATTATCTTTAAGAAGGTCTTAAAAATATGGTTCATTAGACTCATGATACCATGCTCTTCGCATTTTTTTCATTAGGTTTTTAGGTATAGCAATAAATGTAGATTTTAACCAGCCCTCTGGGATTTTTCTAGAGTCATAGATTTTACTGAACATTCTCGTAAGCCATTGTACTCCTTCGCCTCCCATGATTTTTAGAATTTCTGAATGAAAGTTGTAGGGTCCTGGTGCTTTACCTGCTTTGGTTGCTTTAATTGCGGCTTTGACTTAGTCTTGAGTGATTGGTGGTCCTGTGTCGTATTCCATAATTATCTGGCTAGTAGCACTATCGTCATCGAATGTCTTCTTATCTCTTCCATATACTCTTTGTTTGTTCAATGTCTATTACCGAGTAGTCATGATCACCATCATGATATGTCCTGATCTCTTGGGTTTGTACATTCCTGCTGCCTCTTTTACGTTCTTATGGAGATTAAACGAGTCGTGTCTACTATCCAATAAATTTTATTTCTTTGAATTGATTTTCCAACCATTTTAAAATTATATCTAACTCAATATTAAACAGTAGTGTAGTAGTTCGTCGCGTTGTTTTAAACCACTGGTCATAGAAAAACTATTAGTGATATCACTCGTAGCAGCTTATTTGGCACCGATATACTTTCCACGGATGTCTATACACAATTCCTTGCTATGCAGCCATAACCTTGTCGGAAATCTATAAACAGCTTTTGCATATCTTTATTCACTTTCCAAGTCTTTTCCAGCAGTTGTCTAATCGTGAAAATCTAATCTATTTTTAATCTTTGTTGGTCGACAGAAAAAGGCACTGGTAGTATGTACAATTTGTTCTGTCTCTCAATATATTTGATAATATTTAATTTGGTGCATCTTAGCCAGAACATCTGAGCGAAAGTCTGTTCGCGAGCAATACAAACCATTCTGGGAATCATTAAATGAATGGCCAAAGAAAAGGTTGATGACCATGTTGAAAATGAATTTTCAATATAAAAAATAGTTAAAATTACAGCTTTTTAGGTATAAAATGCCATGTATCATTTAGTATGTCACCGCGGGGGAACAAATAGGGGTCTAACATCCTTCTATTGCCTCCGGGTGCTCTGTAGAGTGCTTCGGAGACGTCAACGAAAGCACCTCTACCCAAGTCTATTTACAGGATATAGACTTGTGAAGTTCTCTTCTGGTAGGCTCGTCTTGAAAAAGACGACCTATTTCTTACATGACATACGATGAAGTTGTCGAAATAGTCATCAGGTTCTCAGCTTCGGTGACTTGCCTTGAAAAAGGCAAGTTATTTCTGACATGAACAATATTAGGTTGAAATAAATCACCAAATTGTAGTAGAATAAATACTCAGCGACAGAGTATGGAAAGCTAAAAAGGAAGCAGAGCCCCGAGAGCACTAAGCTCTCGAAGAGCCCGTGAGGGACTGACTTGGTTTACCTGAAAATCGCCAATTTTTATACACGCTGAAGTAGCGATAAATAGGGATTTCCAGGTCAGGGACCAATAGGAAAAATGAGGGGCGGGGCGATGCGTCCTTGAGCGCGAACTAGTCGCGTCCGAGTACAAGTACAAGGTTAAAAAATGTGTTGAATTGATGAATTGTGTAAATAAATAGAGTATCACGTTGACATCCTGAATTTCATTATCTGAAATTTGTCCTCATTTGGGTTCTCAGTACAGAAATTTCTCAGTCACAATTATTTTTTAATAAAAAATTTAATGACTTTTGTTATGTTTAATACCTTATTATTAAAGGTAATAAACGTCCTTTGATGACTTCTTCTTCTTATGGTGCCAATCCGTTACGGATGTTAGACACTAACATGTCTATTCTGACTTTGTTGACTGCTGCCCTGAAAAGTCCGGTAGTGGTTTGTTAAGTTAAATCATTTTCGCAGGTTATGCAGCCAGGATATTCTTTTCCGTCCTGGACCTCTTCTCCCATGCACTTTACTTTGAAGTATGGTCCGAAGTAGGTCATATCGTTGTTCATTGCGCATTATATGGCCCAGGTATTCTAGTTTGTGACGTTTTATGGTTAGGACTAGTTCGCGCTTTTTACCCATTATATGCAGTTCTTCGTTGGTAACTCTGTCTGTCCAGGAAATTCTCAACATGCGTCTATAGCACCACATCTCAAATGCTTCGAGTCTCTTCAGTGATACTTCAGTTAAGGTCCATGACTCCACACTATATAAAATAACGGAAAATATGTAGCATTTTAGTAAACAAACTTTTATTTCCAATTTTATGTCGTGGCTGTTAAAGATTATTTTCATTTTGACAAAAGCTGATCTTACCTTCTCGATCTTTATCTTAATTTCCGTCGATTGGTCCCATTGTTCATTTAAGTTTGCACCCAGATAACAAAAGTTGGTGATTTGTGTTATGGGTTGTTGGTTAACTAGTAATTGACCAGGTGGTATCCTATTTTTGTGTATTTAGCTTATATAGCTTATACAGCTTATAACCGTGTATTTTGTTATTTTAATGTTAAAATCAAGCCCAAACCTGCTACTTACTTCTGCCATCATGGAGACCAGTGTCTGCAGACCTTCAAGACTGTCTGCAAAAATGACAGTATCATCAGCGTACCTTATGTTGTTCAATCGTTCTCCGTTTATAAGTATTTCCTCGTCTATGTCCGTTAGCGCTAGGTTCATAATTTGCTCTGAATATGTATTGAACAATAATGGGGACAATATTCATCCTTGTCGTACACCTCTTTTATCTTTATATCGTCTGTTAACTGATCCCCAACTCTAACAGCTGCAGTTTGTTCGTAATAGATATTGTTTATTATACGGCGATTTCTGCTGTCTAGACCAATTGAATTTATTATTTTCATCAGTTCGTCATGTTTTATTATATCGAAGGCCTTCTGGTAATCAACAAAACACACGTATATATCACAATTCACGTCTCTACATCTTTGAAAAAGAACTTGTATTGCAAAAAGTGCCTTCCGAGTACCCAATACAGGAAAAGTTTTCAGGAGATGGCTCATAAGGCTTATTATTCGATAATCATCACATTTTTAATTATTATTTATAACTGGGAATAAGCCACAATTAAAGATAAAAATACGTTTATTGACGTTTCAATTTCCAATTCGGAAATTGAAATTGAAACGTCAATAAACGTATTTTTATCTTTTATTGTGGCTTATTCCCAGTTATAAATAATAATTAATTTACAATGCCACAAGAAAATAGCTTCAGAACTTCACATTTTTGGCATTGGGTTTTTTAGGGATTGTTATAAAAGTTGATCTTAGTCACTGTTGGGGTATTTTTCCATTTTGGTTTATATTGTTGAAGATCAAGGTAAGTCTTTTTACTTCGTCTTTACCCATAATTTTCAAAAATTCTGAGTATAACTTGTCTGGTCCTGCGGCTTTGCCATCCTTAATGTTGTTTATAGCAGCTTCTACTTTCGCTTCAAGAATAGGTGGTACGATATTGTCATTTTTATTTTGTGTGATGGTGACATTCCTATCGTCTTCAAATGTTGTTGTCACATAGTTCATCCACGTTGTTTTTGTTTTTTTAATATCAACTATTGGATTTCCTTGAGCGTCTGTTAAGTGTCCTAGCCTTTTTAATTTACAGATGCCTGCTGCTTCTTTGATCTTTTTGTGGAGGTTGAAGGCATCGTGTTCCAATATCTCGATTTCTTTACTCGGTTTTTCCAGATTTCTATTTTTAGCTTCTCTGACAGGTTTTTTCATCTCTTTGTCTAGAAATTGATATGCAACGTAGTCTTTTTGCTTGGATTCTTGTCTTCTGTCCATCATCTGTAATATACCGTCGGTCATCCATGATTTTTTCTTTTCTGTCTTTTTTGATAGCAGGTATTGGTCTAATATCTCCTTCCCGATGTTTTCTAAGTGGTTTATTTCTATGTCAACATCATTAACTACTTTTAACTTAGATATGTTGTTTTTCAGACATTTCCGTACTTCTTGCTTTATGTCATCATCTCTTAGTTGTTTGAGATCGTATCTTATAGGATTAGGTTTTTGGATTTTTTTAACTTTCAGGCGAAACTTAGCGACAAGTGGGTTATGGTCTGACTTAATATCTGCACCAGGGTAGGTTTTCACTGATGCCATTGAGTTTTTAAAACTTTTATTTATTAAAATATAGTCAATCTGGTTTTTATGAGATTTTCTGGCGTGTCACCGGGTGAGCGTCATGTGTATAACCTTTTGTATGGTAATTTGAAAAGTTTATTGGTGATTACCAGCTTTTGCTCACCCTGACCTCATGTACTTACTACTTCACTATAACTACCCTTACCGATTTTTGGCATTAAAGTCACCCATAACTATCGTTACTTCATTGGTTTTTAACTTACTACTTAGGACTTTCCTTAAATCGTAATAAAAATCCTTCTATTACTTCGTCTGATTTGTCTGCTGTGGGTGCGTATATTTGAATTATGTTGGTTTTTACTGGGAATAAATCCAATTGAATGAGCATGATTCTCTCGGATATTGGAACAAAATTCGTAACGTATTTGTTTATTTAAAATTATTCCGACGCCATGCTTATGTTGACCTTCTGTATTTCCAAAGTAATATACTTGGTGCTGGTTTATTTGACATTTTCCGGCAACAGGCCATCGCATTTCATTTAATTTCATCGCATTATAAATGTTGCCTACTTCGTACATAGTCTTGACGTTTCAGGTGCATATTTTAATAAAATGCTTAATTTTTCTAGGCGCATCCTTTCCTTTTACTTGGGGATTTCGCTTGCTAACGATCTGGGAGGCCCCGTGGTTCCGTGTTATTATTCCTCCCCTGCCGGATCTTGCAATCCGATATATATGATCAGTAGTCTTCACTTTCAAAGCTGTAGCCATGATAGACGTACAAGAGATATCCATATGGATCCTTAATGTAGTAGTTTTTCCTTACTTTCTACATCCTTACGCCATTGACCTAGTTCTCGGTTCATCCGCCTTTAGGGCTAATTTCCTAACCCTAGGACAAAAGAGTACCCTAAAACTTACCAACTCATCTGCCCGAAGCCGTTGGTAGGTAAGTGGGGGATTGCTTATACCGGCAATCACTCGACGTCAGAGCTTCGTTTGTTATCTAGCAGGATGCACCGGATGACCAGAATCAATTCATCCAGATCATCACGCGTGCAGGTGGGGTTGACATTTGAATAAGAGAGGCTATACGTTGTGCATCACTATCCCTTGCATCCCTTTGATGATTTAAACAACGAAATTACTTACATGCACATTACTTTGTAAAATAAATAGTTTTTTGTGTCTTCTGAAAAATATTTTTAATGAGACTTGTCTTTCTTATCTCAGGGATTAAATTATTTTCTATGGTTTTGCAATATTGAAACTGACTAGCCTCGGAGTTTGTTAGCTTTTAACATTTTTTATATTATTATCTCTTTTTTAGGAAATGTAGTTTGCTACTACTCTGGAGAATTTGGGACTAGTGTTGCACCTCCCGAGTTATTAGATGCAAATTTATGTACCCATCTAAATTACGCATTCGTCAAAGCTAACGAAAATGGAAACTTGGTATTTTTAAATAAAAACGTCGATATTGAACAAAGTAAGTGATTTCTTATACGTTTTAGCAGGTTTTATGTAAATTGTTCTTTTGAAATACCAAAGATAATTTTATAATATTTTTTTTGCATAAAAACACAAAAGAATCGAATACAAGAAGTTTTTAAACTGTTTTCTTGATTAAATATTAAATTTATATGGGATCAAACTGCAATTGATTGTAATATGAGTTATATCTTCCAGCGCAGTCATCAAAATTTAGAACAAACTACTTCAGCTTTTGTTCAAACACAACCTGGTCAGACTTGTTATTTTTGTAAACATCCAAGACATATACGATAATTATTTATGTACAGAAAGGACTGCGACTTGCCAAAACTGTCATAAAATTGGACATTGGGCTGAAATGTGCATTCAATCAAAGAAAATTCAAACGAAATCAACTCTTGCTTCTACAATTGTAATCGCTTTTTGAATTATTCCCAAACAATAAATGGATTTACATTATTTGATACTTATCCATTGCCGAATATCAATTTACTAGTTTCTTAAGATATTAAATTATAAAATTTTTAGCTCAATTGATTTCAAATTCGCTCATTATCAAATACCTATTCAGGAATCTGACAAACCAATTTCAGTTTTCAAGGCTAATGGATGCCTTTATCATTTCCGTCGTACTCCTTTTGGGGTTACCAATGGAGTATCATGTTTTCAAAGAGCCATTGATTCTATTATTAAAAAGAAAATCTACAAGGTGTATACACTTATTTAGATTATGTAACAGTTAGTGGTGTGGATCAAGATAGCCATGATTTAAATTTACAGAATATTTTAAATCCGTTAAAAATATGGGTTAAATTTAAATCAAAATAAATGTCACTACTATCAAAAAGTTATAAATATTTTGAGATATGCAATAGAAAACTTTACAATGAAACCTGATTCAGACCGATTGAAGCCTCTACTAAATTTATCAGTTCCTAACGATTCTAAAAGTCTTATATATTGCAAAAAGCAATATATTATATATTTTCATTAGGTCCAAAAATGGTATTTGCTTTTCAGGAGTTAAGAACTGATATAGCTAATGCAATGCCATGGATAATTGATGAAAAATAAATTCTCATTATTAAAACAGATACATCTGAATTTTTTATTGCTGCCACTCTTAGTTAAGCTGCAGGACCCGTTTTTCACGTACCCCCGTCGATACTGAACGAAAACATTCTGCAGAAAACATTTAAAAAAGAAGCATATACTTGCGTCAAAGTATTAAAAAATGTAGAGATTATCTGATAGGAAGGCAATTTAAGCTAATCACATATCAAAAATCAGTTTCAATAATGTTTAATATAAACAATACAAGGAAAATCAAAAATGAAAAAATTATTCAGTAGCGTTTCGAACATTCTTGTTTTAAATATGATACTATTTATTGCCCAGGAAAGGCTAATGATGCAGCTGATGCACTATCAAGAATATTCATTAATATAAATAATACAAATAAGTTATATCAATTGCATTCAAATTTATCACATCCTGGGATTATTAGTGAGCATCATTTTATATAAAGTTAAAATTTCCCTTATTCTATAGATGAAATTAAACAAGTAATTACATCTTGTCCAATTTGTGCAGAAATTAAACCCAGATTTTATAAAGAAGGGGACGATAAACATTCAATGAAATCAACAGCTCCGTCCGAAAGATTGAACATCGACTTTAAAAGTCCAATACCCAGTTCCTCTAAAAATCTATATATGCTTACAATAATTGATGAATTTTCAAGATTTCCATGGGCTTTTCCATGTTCAGATACATCTAGTTAGACAGTTATTGAATGTTTGAATCATCTATTTTGTGGAATGCTGACATATATACATTTCGTGTCCCACGTTGGGCGCCATTTTGTAACATCTTAATCCAATTAAGACCGGGGCGTTAAGCAACATTATACTGCTGAAAAAAACGAGGGGAGATATTCTTCGAATATCCCTAATGATATTCAAGAGAACAACGCCCACCGTTCCATCCATAAGAATGGTGCTCTGCCCGAGTGCTCAGCCCTGGGTTCGTTCCCTGTTCATTCACTCTTTACACCAATCCCAGAAAGGTACAAGAAATAAAAAAACTTATAATGTCATACTAAAGGTATATTTATATATCAAATAAAAAATAAACAGAATTCAAATTATGAATGTGAAACAAAAATAAATTTTTAAACTGAGACTCACAGATTCTGCCGGTTGCCGGTATAAAATAACTAAAGTATAAAAAAGTAAGAAGCATTAGTGTCACGTACAATTGGTTGATTCAAACGTTACATGACAGAGGAACTAGCTTTACTTCACAAGAATTTATTAAATATTTACACAATGTTCAAGTAGAACAACACCATATAACCCTGAAGGAAATGGTCAGTTATATGCAAAGCGGTGGATCTGGCAATAAAAACCAGAAATTTAGGCGTCACTAAGTGGGAAACTGTTCTACTAGATTCTCTGCACTCTATACGAAGTTTACTGTGTATAGCAACTAATTATACACTCCATGAACGTTTCTTTACTTATAAAGGAAGATTAACTAGCGTAACTTCTATTCCTTTATGGCTTAGAGATTTAGACAAAGCATTACAAAGAAAATTTGTACAAGGAAGTAAGTTCGATCCTTTAGTTGAAAAGGTTGATCTTTTAGAGGCCAATACAGATTACGCTTTAATAGAGTCTCGAAATGGTAAGAAAAGTACAGTTGCAACGAAGCATGTAGCTCTTAGAGGTGACCTAAAATTATTGAATCACGATAAAGATAAAAATAAAAATAAAAGTCCAAAAAATACACTAGAGAATTCTACTAGTGAATCAATACCAGAGGAGACAGAAAATTTACGTGTTCAAGAATCGAATCAAGTACCTGATAATAATCATGAACCTAGATTGGAAAATTTAGATTTTAAATCTAGCCGTAAATCAGCTAGGATTAAAAATAAGCTTAGATATTTACAAGATTTTGTTCAAAAATAGGGCTGGGTGAATATAGCATAATTTATAGTTCTTGTTATGTAATCTTATGACTAGACTTAGGTAAATATGCAAATAAAAAAGTATGAAATATGCGCATAACTATGCAGTATTTTATGCAGTATTTCATGCAAAATATGCATATTTATCTAGAAAATATGCATGTAATAAAAAATATTTACCATATTTTTTTATTTACAAAAATATTTACAATATTATAAATACATATCATTTGGATAAATACATAGCATAGTTGGATCGGTGTCGCTCTTAGTCGCCTACCAATAATATCCCAGAGATTTTCATGATCCCAGATGTGCTGGCTATTCCATAGTATTAATTTCTACCTCTTCTAGATAATTTCTGACGACTTGTGCAGCGTGAGGTCTGGCATTATCTTGCATTAGTAAGAAATTTTCACCGATATAAGGAGCGAATAGTACTGAATCTTGCCCCAGGATCTCCAATATGTACCTTTCAGCTGTAACAGTTCCATTTTGTATGACCACTAGGTCCGTACGTGCGGTTTAAGAAATACCACCCCACACCATAACAGATCCTTCAGCAAAAAATGTGGTGTGTGAGAAGTTACACTGAGTATATCGTTCGTTGGGTCGTCGCAACATACGAACATGTCTGTCGTTATTGTACAAACAAAATCGGGATTCATTAGTAAATAGCACTCGTTCCCAGTCAGCCTCTAATCAATTAACGTATTCTCTGGTAAAATGTAGTCTCCCCCTTCGATGCTCTGCAGTTAATAGAGGACCTCGGCCGGCAATCCTTGCTGTTACGTTGTATTCCCTAAGTCGTTGGTAAACAGTTTCAGTACTAATTTGTATTGCATGCACGTCTCAAAGCTGAATTTGTAAAGTTCGATGTGTTACAAAATGTTATCGAAGAGCGGAAAATCTTAAAAATCGATCTTGAATAGGGGTAGTTACCCGGTTTCTTCCTTGCCCTAGTCTGCGAGTATGATCCCCTGTTTCAAGGAATCTTTCTAACAACGTGAGACGGATGTGTGGGACAATTAAACCGATGACCAATTCTTCAGTAACTCCAACCTTCTTCCGGCAGTATCACTGCTTGAGCACATTCATCCCCAAATTACGTGATTGACGCTCTAAAATAAACACAATTAACAATAATCAACAATTAAACAGTAGCCGAATAAAATTCGTGAACACTTGGAAATTAGTATATTTATAGAATTAGTACATTTTTTGCTTCTTTTTGGTTTGTTGCAAAAAAAACTATACCGATAAAAAACAGTCAATAAATATAGAGTGTACGAATATCACATACAAGGTGCTTGCAAAATACAACATTACAATGGAAATTTTTATTAACGTTAATAAAAAAATTTTATATTTCAAAGTGGTGCGTTAATTTCTTGGAGAAGTGTATATTTTTTTAAATCAACAAAATAATCAGCATAAAAATGAGTTGCTTCCAATTATGTTCCCCAACGTGTTAAAATGGGTTGCAGTGGCAGTGGAACAGCAGGAAGCATATCTATGTAACATTGTATTCCTTCTCAAATTTGGTGACCCCGCAATTATACTTGACCCTTTTAAATACATTAAAGACTCTTGCTGGAAATATACATCAAATGTAATTGTCACCATCAAATTCAAAATTACTTTAGTTTTAATTTATTAATTGTTTCTTAATATTTTTTACAATGATTTTTCTACTTGCAATACAAACGTAGTATGTACTATGAAAATATAGGGTTTTAAGGAAAATGCAATTTTAGAAATGTACGAGCGAACCATAAACCTTAAGAAAAATAACCCAAATCTGAAAGTATTATTAAGCATAGGCGATACACAGGCACAGGTATTTTCCACAGTTGCAGCAGATGCCGCCAAACGTCAAGCACTGGTATCAAGTTCACTACATTTTGTCAAAACTTATGGCTTCGACGGAATAGATATTGACTGGGAAATACCAGAAGGAAAAGATAAGGTATATTTTAATCTTTTTAAATTATTGCTGTTCTAAATGAAAATATATGATATAGCTCTATAACGCTATGAAGTTTCATATTATGTTCTTCTTCTTCCTCTTCATAAGCAATTATGCTTGTTCAGTGGTGGATTAATACCTCTAGGAAGGTTGTCACTCCATATTTTGCGAGGACATTCAATAATTCTTCTGCCGATTGGTGACTTATCTCTTGCTATTTCGACGACACGGGTCTTCATTCTGCTTTTGAGGTTATTCCATTCTTTTTTTTTCTATTTTGTTTTCATTTTTCTTCTCTCACAAATAAAATCTCCGACTCGTTTCAAAAAAACGATGGCACTCTTTCAGCCTAAAAGATTTTTTTCTTGGACTGGGTGTCTCGTGTAAATCTTACGTATTTTTCTTTTCTTTACTTACGGAATTTGGAATCTCTTTGGACACAAGAAGTTTGAAATTCTTGTCTTGGTCTTGGTTTGTCTTCCACTACTCTGCAATCACCAGCAGAACCCACAGCACAGAAACAACACAACTTGTACTTATCTTTTAACACACTGTTTTCAAACTGAACTGCTCGTAAAAACTGGATGGTAAAAACACAATGCTCGAAATTTTCTCGTTCAATTTTAACATCGACTATCTATTCTCCTTTCCTCGTTTCCCATAGCCAATAATATACATTCATTCCTCCTACCTATTTTCCGAAAACCCCTACTTTAATTTTTTAAGAAATCAAGCGTATTGTACCCACTTGGTTTTCCCCTAAATTTATAAAAGATAATCCGAACACCATTTGTTTTGTGTTTTACTTTTACTTAAAAGCCTGTGTATAATTATTTTTGCATTTAAACAGTATTTAGTAACCTTCTAAATAACCTATTAATTAAATTATTATAATAATTAAATAACTATAAAAGTCCACTCTTCTGCAAAATCACTTCAAGTGGTTTTGCAGATAATCATTATTATATTTATAAATTTTTAACTTACACAGGTTCTTGAAATTTATTAATTTTAGAACTACAACAATATATATATATATATATATATATATATATATATATATATATATATATATATATATATATATATCACACAATTAATTGTAATTTATGTTTGCAGCAAAATTTTATAAGTCTATTGAAGCTATTCAAAGAATCTTTAGGAAAAGAATCGTATATATTTATGGTTACGGTTTATAATTACCCCGAAGTCGGTTATGACGTTCCTCAGATTTCTGGGTAAGTATTTCCAACCGACCCTAAAAAATATAAATAAATTGAGAAATATTAAGAGTATTTACATAAGAAAGTAGCAAATATAGATTTAAGCTATACTTATCTGCATTTCCCTATACACTCAACTGCAGACTAAACTCAACTAAAGTATAATCAGCTAATTCATTTTTGTAATTCTTCCATAAGAACAAAACGTTTAAGTCCAGTCGAAATGTACTTGATCTTAAGCACGGTATAGATGTTGTATACCAAACGTATACAACAAATCGTAGTATGTCAAAAAATTCTGACATACTACGTAGAACCAACAAAACTTTACAAAGCAAAACTGTCAAATTTTATATTCACATTTCTTTGGATTAAAATTTTAGGAAATTTTTAACTTGGATTTGGACTAAAATATTTTTGCCATGCTTAACGATGCCAGCTAACATGTTAACTTAAAAACAATTTCGGAGAGATACATCCAGAACTTGCTTCTCATTGAGATTGATTTTATTTGGGAGACTTACCTTGTTTACGACTTTTTTTGCCTTACAGTATTATATAAAGTTCTAAATCATCGACTAAATTTACGGTTAAACTAAACATCTAGTAGATAACATAATATTATTCCTCAGGACGTAATTTTGTTGATTATTTTGTTGTCCTAATAGACGTTCAAATGGCAGGAAACGAAATTTACTGAAAATAAAACTGCCTCAAAGATAAGAAGCTTACTCCGAATACTAAACTGACCATTTACAGAGCAGCTATTAGACCAGTAATGGTGTTGAAGTAATGTGCTCGATACAGAAAGATGAAGAAAAATTGAAAATGTTAGAGAGAAACAATCAGTCAAAGAATAGCAGTCTCACTAGACTTAGGTAATAATGAATTTAAAAAACTGATGACCTACGAAGTAACAGAACTTTTAAAAGGAAAATACATCGTCAGATTAATTATGGCACAAAGACTGATAGATAGGTAGATAGAGAGGAGAAATATAGAAGTAGTTAGCAAGAAAACCACCAAATGAAGACCAGTGTCAGGCAAACCACGAGGAAGACCGAAAACTAAAAATGGGAGAAGAGAGATAATTTCGGATCTTAAGAAAATGGTTAGAGAATGGAAGAGTTAAAAAATAAAAAATTGCAAAAAAATAAGCAGAAACAGGGAAGAATAAAAAATATTGTAGAAGACGCTAAGTCACACAATCAATTGTAAAACCAAAATGTTATTGCGGACTGATTCCCCGCGACAACTAAATCAGAAGAGCCCAAAGCGGGCAGCAATCATTCCGCTAGGAGTGCAGATGCCATCATGAATAGACCTTCAAATAAGATAAGTTGATTGATGTCAATTAAAAGACAAATTGAGGATCAAATTTACATATATCTAGAGAACAAAAGTTAGAAGACCTCTGAATATCCTTATATTGCGGAATTTGCACAATAGATGGTACAAAACCATTTATTATGAAAGCTGTCTGTTATAAACAAATAGTTGGCTTATATATTTTTGGAATCACTTATCTCCAAAAAGTGTTTGTCGCCTGCAATCCGATGTCTCACAGGCATGCAAGATATGCTTGATTGTTCTAGGTTCTCTGCTACAAAGTTCGCAGCTTAAGTCCCCTTGAAACAGTTCCATTCTATGCAGGTGTCCCTTCTGGAAAGGGCATCAGCTTATTTATTGTCATATATTTTCCATTATTGAAAATCCATTCATTTCTTTTGCATCCATTCCAACTTTTTAAAAGCAAGTTTCAGAACTGCCGTAAAATGTATAATATATAGATATATAATTTTAGGTCGGCTGATATGATAAACCTAATGTGTTACGATTTTTATGGATCATGGAGCAAGTACACCGGTTATAATGCTGCACTTTATGCATCACCTACTGAAAGCGATTTTGAGAAAAATCGGCTAAATGTGGCGAAGTGTATTCAGAATTGGCTTAATGCAGGAGCTGCTAGTAAGAAAGTAAATGTTGGAGTACCCTTTTATGGACGCACTTTTAAATTGGCTAATCCGAATAACCAAAAAATACATTCACCTTATATTGGAACTCCAGAGGGGGTTACCTATCAGAGAGTATGTATAAAATACAATATTTCTCCATTTAATATATTAAAATTCTTTATTATTTCTTTTGATATAGTTAGTCCCTACTTTTCTAAATACTCTTAATAGAAAATATCTAGGGTATTTTCCAGTAGAGGATATTATATGCTATGAGTATAGCCAATTATTTAGTCGATAACGGTAATGCTAAAGACTCAAACGATAAAAGCATTGGAATTATCAAAAAAAGACAATGCAGAAACAATAAATCGACGGTCGAGAATCATAGGGTTCCAAGCGACAATTCCAATATTTCTAGAAAATCGATTTTTAAAGTTTGTAGTTCGATACTATGTGCTTTGATAGAGAAAATCGGATTCAAATGAATTTGAGAACATTGCATAGATATTTAAAAATCAAATTATTCTCAGATATATCTGTTTTAGATAAATTTTAACACGTTAATCTTGCTGTTTTGGAAAATATTGCAGTTGTACTTGGAACTTTGTGTCACTGTTACGTTTTAAATTAATTTTTTTTGCTGTGTATGGCATACAAAAACTAAAATTAATTAGTAAAATGATATTTCTTTAAAAAAAAATGTTTAAAAATCAAGATTTTATTATAAAAAAGAGTATGTCCTTAAAGGATTTCATAATAAACTATTTTTAGTTCTTTTGAAATTCAGAAAGCAAACTTTTCATGTAAAGCTGGTTTTCCAATGGCCTCCATTTATGTGCAAATTCCATTTGCGCAATTTTTTCTTAGTTAGGGACTTTGCTTTGGAATTATTTGTAGGATATATTATTACAAAATCTGTAGTATCAAAACTATCACCAGACTTCTTTTTCCTCTGTTAATTTTAATGTTACTGTGATCATCACTTTATATTGTACTTTCAACTATTGTCCTTGCAAAAAATGTAACGGGCTGACTTTTGTGTAGGGTATTTTGTCTTATTGAAAAATACACTCTCACATACACTCTTTTTGTATTTTTTAAATTGTGATTCCTGCATATTAATGGCAGAAAATGGTACATCAACTTTTCTATCAACTTAAAGCAATTGTTTGACAAAAGAAAAAAAGACCATATATCTGTAATTATTAATAATTTTTCTATACGCCAGTGTACATTATCTACGAACTGTATGCAGGATTGTCCTAGTTGAGAATACTTCATTAATGTTGAATCTTCATGATTCAACATCTGGATTCTTGGATGTTTATTAAGAAAGTCATCGATTGCGAGTGACATATGCGAGTTTTTGTTCTGCAGAACACAGCTGTCACTCCATGTTATATTCTTATTGATTTTGGTATGTTTAGAGACAATAAAGTTATTTTTCGTTCTTACGATTTGGTACCGGTCTTTCAGATAGGAACCAAACCAACTATGGGCAACTCATCTAACACCATATCTGTACAATCTATCGAGGAGTATATCGTTTTGCATTCAATCAAAAGCATGAATCCAACTGCCACATGGCAGTTAGATTTTCATTGTTTTCAATTGATTAAGACTTTCTCATAGAAACTGTTGTTAGCTGTGGAAGTAGAACATTTATTTCGAAATCCATGTTAATGTTTTATAATAATTTGGTTGATATCTAAAAATAATAAAAGTTGTTTTAGCATTGCATATTCAATAATCTTAGATATCACCGATGAAACAGACAATGGTCGAAAATTTGACATTAATTCAGGACCACCTTGTTTTAATACCGGTGAAATAATAGAAGTTTTCAGCATACTGGGAAAACATCAGTATTGAAAGAATCATTTACAATATGAGCAAATGGTGTCAAAATCTGAGACGCAATTTTATAAAATTACTATACCTGATATTTCATCACAAACCACACGATGCTTCGTTTTTAATTTTATATTTTATTATATCTAAGATATCTTTCTCTGTTACAAATGGTAGGCACAAACTATTTTGAACAAAATCGTTGGAATGCTGAAAATTTAAATTTGTTTGATATTATATTTGAATCTGTAGAGGATTCAGAGATTTTGTTAAAATAAAACTGGTCCTTTGTGGCCTCAATAAGAACTTTGTACTGATATTTTTTTGTCTATATAGAGTTTTTAGCTCATGGTATGCCATTTCTCAGATGCTTCAGACTATCTGAAGAAGATTTTACTTCTTGTGTGGCCCATTCTTTTTTTTACTTTGGTAATGTTTGGTTTCTCTAATAGGACAGCTAATATTGAAATAGAACTGTAATTTATCAAGAAAAGCATTATATTCACTCTTAACATCAGTTGCATGATAAACATCTTGCCATGTTTCTTTACTCAAGAGATTGTTGAATATCGAATCAAGGAACAAGAGAAGAAGATATAAACAACAGAGTAAGACAAACAAGAAACTGTATAAGACAACTAAATTCAGTGCTGTGGGTAAGAACATTACGATAAAGACAAAAAAGAGAATATATAATATCCTGACAAGAAGTATCCTGACATATGGGTCCGAAAACTATACAATAAACAAGAGAAATAGAGGTAGAATAAGAGCAGTAGAAATGGAGTTCCTGAGGAGAAGCTGTAGACTTACAAAAAGAGACAGAATTGAAAACACAGAGATTAAGCGGAGAATGGGAGTGCAATCAGACATAATAGACTATATAGAGGAGAAGAGACTATCCTGGTACGGCCACGTTAAAAGAGCGGACAGAGGACGCTGAATAAACAAAATCACAGAATGGAGCCCGATCGGAAGAAGAAAGAGAGGAAAACCCCGAAGGTCATTCAGAGACGAAATCGACGAGGCTATGGAGAAAAGAACCCTGCGAGATGGAGACTGGAATGACAGGGAAAATTGGAGAAAAGTTGAGTAAAGGAAGTCAGTGAAAACTGTGAAAATCCTTAGTAGTAGTAATAGTAGATTGTTGAATGCATCTCTAGCGCCTTCATGTGTTACTCTGAAAGTATTTAGAACTGATGTAATAATTATATTGATAAAATTCAACCTCAAAAGGAATATATCGTAATCCGATTCAGTATTTACATTTACAGTACCTATACAATCATCACAATTTGTATATACCTGATCTAAAATATTTTCGCATGTGGAAGTCGACCTTGTAGGTGTAAAGCTCCTGGGTGACAATCCATAAGATGCTAGAAGACCAGAAAATCTGTGTGAATTATTTAGTGTCATGGAATTTACATTAAAATCGCTTGTTAAAAATATGAATTGATTTGGTTTAAAATTTGAATTTAAGTTTTTCATAAAATACATCAAATTTACCTTTAGATTTGTAGCAAACTAAAATTGTTGGTTGATTTGAAATATAATGCCACTTTAGCCCACATACCTCAATGTATTTTTCAACATAGTACTGATCGAGTAAAATGGAACTAACCTTCATATCATTCCTTGCCCAAACTGCAACACCACCACATTTATATTTGGATCTACTAAATGAATTTACAATTTTAAAATTTGAAAAATTATAATGAATCACCTCGCCATCTATTGACCACGTCTTAGTCATACAAAGAAATTTCATATGGAGTTGAAATATCTTAGCATCACATTATCTATCTATGGAAAACTCGAAACATAAGTGAAAGAACAAGTGAATAGAGCAAACAGAGTTGCAGGTTGCCTAAATGAAACAATATGGAGAAATAAAAATATTGGAAAAAAAATGAAAGACAGAATTTACAAAATAATCATCAGACCAATAATGACATACGCAGCAGAAACACAACCTAACACAGAGAGGATAAGAAGAATGTTAGACAGAGCAGAAATGAAAACACAGGAAAATTGATGATAAAACACAATGCGACAGAGCTAGAAGTACAGATATACGACGTAGATGCAAGGTGGAGAACATCAAGCACTGCATAAGAAATAGAAAAGTACAATAGAACGATCATGTCAAATAATAACAACTAGAGTATTAAAGACGGTAAGAGACGGTTTCCCAATAGGAAGACGATCATTAGTAAGACCACGAAAACGATGGAAGGATAACTTACTGGAGGCATATTGTAAAACTTAGTCACGTCTACATAAAAAGAAGAACAAGAAGAAGAACTTACCGTTTTTAAAGGTGCCTCAAACACACTTGGAGTCTGTTTTTATTTTAATTAAATAAAAAGTAAATATCGAGCACAGGTTTTATTAAATTTAAACCAAGTGCTTTCGCTTGTAACGGGATTTAATTAAGCATCCATAAATCAGATCTAAGTAACTTAATTCAGTTTAAAAATTGAAAATACTTTTAATAATATTAATCATTGCTTATTGCTCAATGTGATTGTTTGTTTATGACATTGAAAAGATCGGTGTAACTAGAACACGCTTACCGACACACTGATCTAGTGAAATTTGTAATGTATTCAAAAGCTTATTTAATATTGTGTACAAATTATATTAGTAAAACATGAATGCACAAACAAACGCACGTGAGTTAAATACCTGGAAAATAATGGGGGCAGATTATTAATAATTAAGAGTTAACAGTCGAAGCTAGTGTTGTCATCCGTCAACTGGATACTCTCTCTATTATTAATAGAGTAAATAGAATAGAAAATATAAATATAAAATAGAATCAATTAGCTAGTAAATAAATGAGGGAGTATTCGAAAAAGCGGTTGAAAACTTCCATTAGTATTTATAGTTGCGCATTTCTTTCCATAAAAACTTTTTATACAGGCTGTATCAGATAAGGGTGACCAATACTTCTTCTTCCTATGCCGTCCCCATTAACGGAGGTTGGCGACCACATTTTTAAAAGCTTCTCTGTCTTTTGCAACGTGGAATAATTCGTCTACAGTCATGTTTGTCCAGTCTCGAATATTTCGCAGCCATGACTTCCTCTTTCTACCTATTCCCTTTTTGCCATCGACTCTACCCTGCATGATGACCAATACAAACTTGCTTATTTTAAATAGATCATCCTGTATATTAATTTATTTTTAGATTCCTCAGATCATTTTAGACATGTAGACAAGTAAAATGGAAAAATTCACATTTAGAAAAGAAAATTATCTATTTGCCGAAATTGGCTACAACATATTTAAAAACTTCTAAATAATACAAATCTAAACAATAATGTCAATGTAGAAGATGTTTAAAATGCTCCCCACGAACGTCTTAGTAACACCCTAACCGTGAATAGAAATTTTTTCTAACGTTACTCAACATTTCAGATGTGATCGATCTAATCGCAAGCGTTATTCGTCTTCGTAAGTCAGCTAAGTCAATGGGTTTTGTTTTGTATACAATACTTTTCACATATCCCCATAAGAAAAAGTCTAATGGCGTCAAATAGGGGGATTGTGGTGGCCATTCCATCGATTTACGTCTCCCTATCCACCGATTTTATAAAAATGAAAAAGGTCCTATGTGGCAAAGATCTAACATTAGCTCTTAAAGTACGCCTAACAAAATGTTACGTATACAGTGTACTATATTATGGAGTGGAATCATGGACGTTAAATCTAGATACCATGAGACGACTTAACGCCTTTGAAATGTGGACCTATAGAAGAATCATGAGGGTTTCCTGGGTAGATAGAGTTACAAACAATGAAATACTGAGAAGAATAGGCAAAGAGAAGGAAATTGAACTTACAATTAAAGAAAGAAAGCTACAGTATCTCGGACATGTGATGCGGGGCGATAAGTATGGCATCCTGCGACTCATAATGCACGAAAAAATAGATGGCAGAAGAAGCATCGGAAGAAGACAAATTTCATGGCTGAAGAACCTGAGAGAATGGTTTGGATGCAGCTCAAAACAACTATTTAGAGCTACTGCCTCAAAAATTAAGATAGCTATGATGATTGCCAACCTCCGTAGCGGAGATGGCACCTGAAGAAGAAGAAGATCCACCGATTTGGAAATATTTGGTTGAGGTATTGCCGGTCATGGATTTGGTAGTGGGGTGGTGCTCCATCTTGTTAAAACCATTTCATATTCGCTGAAACTTGTGGGTTTCCTGGATCAGGATACAAGTTGGCCAACGTTGGCACTACATTATATTGGAGCAATGCTAAATAATTGTCACCATTCAAATTGTCATCTATGAAAAAGGGACCTATGATCTGATCATAAATAATTCCTACCCACACGTCCTTCTCAGGGTATTAAGAATCTCATCCTGAATTCTCATCCAATGAGGATTTTCCCTGGATCAATGGCGGCAATTTTGCTGATTAGCATGACCGTGAAGAGTAAAGGTACACTCATCAGAAAACAAAACGTGTTCTAATTGGATTACATTGCTGTCTAACATTGCCATCATTTGTTCACAAAAATACGCTCTCCTGTCAAAATCATCTTCCATGAGCTCCTGAGTGTGTATTTTATAGGGATGCATTTTGTTTTCTTGTAGTATTCGAATAACCGATGAATAGCTAATATCGAGTACTGGGGCTGCTTTTCGAACAGATGTATGTGTATGTTCCTCAAACTCAAGCATAACAGCCAATTTGGTATCCTCACTTATTGCATTGGCAGCTTCTTTTTTTACCTTCCTAACATGGCCCATGGAATTGCCTCTCTATTTTACTAATTGTCCCTTGGGATATGTGAATTTTTTTTCTAAATGTGAGTTTTTGCATTTTACTTAATATTTCCGAAACAGTCACAGATAAGTATAGGACATTGTATTTAAAAAATGTCTAAAATGATCTGAGGAATCGTAAAATTAATTAACATATAGTGTTCTATTTAAAATAAGCAAGTTGGTATTGGCCATCGTTATCTGATACACCCCGTATAAAAAGTTTTTATGGAAGTTTTACTTCGTATTTATAATAATTTTTAAACTGTTTGTCTTTTGTATCGAGGTATGTAAATGTATCAGTTAACATGACATTCACTATTAGATAGCTTAATTTTGGTGAAATGCCCCTGAAAATGCTCCAGGAGCGAAATACTTGGGCAAGATTTAATAAAAACAGTGTTCGATATCTGCCTTTTGTTTGATTAATATTCTTTTACTCGAGCATTCAACCTTATATCACACTTAGAGTCGATGATTACATCTTGTTTGCGAAACGGAAAATAAAAAAAATTGTAAGGGTATGCTTTTTTACATACAAATGTTATTTTGGACTAAGCAAGCAGCTAAAAAACAGAAATTTAAGCCAGAAAACCAAACTAATAATATATCGAACACTTATCCTACCAGTGCTGACATATGGGTCAGAAACATGGACCATCTCCAAAACAGACGCAAATCTTCTGCTCGTCTTTGAAAGGAAGATACTAAGAAGAATAATGGGCGCATTCTGTGAGAATGGTATTTGGAGAAGGCGATATAATTTCGAATTGTACGAGAAGTATAAAAAAAATAGTAAATGGTAGAGATGTAATATCCTTCATAAAAATAGGTAGGCTTAGATGGGCTGGACATGTGTCAAGAGCAAATGAAAATTACCCACCCAGACGAACTCTATTATCGGTCCCAGTGGGAAATAGGAGTAGAGGCAGACCACGACTGAGATGGAGGGACGGTGTGGACGAGGACGCAAGGAAGATCGGCGCGGCAAATTGGCAACGGTTGGCGATGAACAGAAACGACTGGCGAAATAGACTGGGGAAGGTCAAGGCTCAACTAGAGCTGTAGCACCACTGATGATGATGATGCTTTTTTACACACTTAAAGAGCTTACTTACATACATGTACATACGTGCATAAATACATACACACATACATACATACATATATACATATACAGGGTGGTGAATCGGCAAACGGGCCATAGGAAACTCAATGGTAAATTCTAAATTGCTGAATTCCTGCTTCCCTAATTATTTTACACCAAAAGTCATGGGAAACTATTTGTAGAGGACTCAAATATGTATCGAAAACAACTGTTAAAATTATTCTACGACTTAAACGTATTCCAAAATTTTGCTAAAATATAATACATTTTTCTGTGAAAAAAATGTGTATTACGTGTTGCGTTTTGTCATATTATTGTTTCTGATATTTGACAATATTTAAATCAATTATATTATATTTATCTATGATTTAAATGGCCAAAATTTTGTGATTTATTGTTTAAAAAAATTAAGTTGATTAAAAAATGTAGGTACTCAGTTGAGGAGAAAAAAGCAATAATAAAAATGTTTTATTCATGTTTTATTATAACATTTGTTATAGTTTTATGTTTAGAAATAATCATATATTATTATTAGGAATAAAGATCACAGTAACAGTATATTGGAATTTATTGAATTGTTGTATAACTTAACTTAACATGGAATTAAATTTTAGTGAATTAGAATATCTTACGTTAAATAAAGATCCGGTAGTGGCAGGAAAAGGTTCGCGCTATTGCCTTAATACAACATTATGCGATTTTTCGTCAACTGTAGTAGTATTTAGTAAAATTCATTGTTTATAATTTACATTTACATAAAACATCTGACATTAATATGATAAAACACAAACGTCCTAATATATATTCTTGCATTACGTGTGGCCTAACTTTTAGGGGTGGTCTGAAAAATGTATCACATTTTTTCAAAATTTTGAAGTACATTTGATTCGTAGAACGGTTTTAACATTTGTTTTTAATTCAGATTTTAGTCCTCTACAAATAGTTTTTTATGACTTTTGATCTAAAATAATTAGGGAAGCAGCAATTCAACAATTTAAAATTTCTCATTGAGTTTCCTATGGCCCGTTTGACGATTCACCACCCGGTATACATATATACATACATACATACATACATAAATACATACATAAATATTAACATTAGTCATCAGTCTGTTCAAGACGAGTAACGAAAATACTGTCTTAATTATCTACATCCTGTATATGCTATCAATTTTAACCCATAATAGAAAAAAAAAAATATTTCTCTTTTTACTTTTAGATAACGAGTAGCATTTGTGTTTTATTTCAGTTGATATTAAGATAATAGTGAGGATAATAATTTTTAATATAACAAAAAATCTACTAGTAAAAATTGTATCTAAATAAAAATATTTTTATTAGGTATGTTCGGATTTCCAACAGTACACAGAAGCATGGGATGATGTACAAAAAGTGCCATTTAAGTATTATAGAGATCAATGGATAGCCTATGATAATGAGCGATCGATCGCAGAAAAGGTTTGTATGTAATTATTAATACACATAAATATTTTTGAAGCGGACAATGTCAGTAAAAGATTCAGTTCGTAACGATTGTCAAAATTCAATAAAAGTCATAAATGTCATTCACATAATAACGACATTAATTGATCTGGTTAAATTTTAATAATAATTCTCGTTTTAAAATAATTTCATATAAATACAATTATTATTTTCCTACTTTCCCGGGAACTCCTTAGTGACCAGTTTAGACGTAGAAGTGATATTTTCATATTTATTGTACCCACCTCTTCCATCCCTTCCGGTTCCTAGCTAGTTTTTTTATTTGTTGAACTGATTTTCCTTTTTTTCTGCCTATTTTCAGCGATTATTCCAACCATCCCATCCTTGGTATTTCCTTTCTTGTCTTTCCGTATCTATTGGATTCCATTACTCTTCTTACTGCTCTGCTCTATTTCATCCTAATAATGTGTCCAAACCAGTTTATTCATATCATTTCCGATATGACTGATTTTTATGACACCAGCTATTTTTCTTAGTTGTTTCATTTCCGATGCGTTCAACGCGCTGTCGATTGTAGTGTTTTTGACCCACGTTTCGCATGCATACAACAATGTTGGTATTGTTACTGCTTGAGCTTAACTTTTCTTTCTATCTCTGGTTTTACAAATATCGCGTTGTTAAGTGCATAGTAAATTTCGTTTGCTTCCTTCAGTGCATTTGATAAGTCCTGCTCCTGATATACTGTTTCGTCTTCTAATATCACTACTTCTAAATATTCAAAAGTTGATACTCAATTTGGTTTTCCTCACAATAAAGTGGAAAATGGTTTTGCTCACCCATATATTTATTAATTCTTGAATCTTTCCTACAGTGTCTGCAATTAGTATAATATCATCTTCATATAGAAGTCCGTCAAGTCTTAAGGGTATTAAGTTCAAATGTCATACCGTAGTTTGCAGATGGTTTGTGGCAGTTTTAGCATTCTTCAGAATTTCATACATTATTAGGACGAGTAGTACCTACTCGGCGAATGCTGTCATCTTGCTTTATATCCTTCTTAATATTAAATTTTTCGTTTCGTTATTCTAGGATTTTTCATACTCTGCCTTTCATACTCATAAATGCTTCTTTGAAATGTATAAATTTGATTATTATTTTTAAACATAATATTAATACTTATAATATTAAATGTATCCATGAATAATGAAGAATGAAGAATCCATGAGTTTTGGGGAAATCAACTTTTCCCCAAAAAGAAGAAGAGCACACCAGCTGCTCTTAACACCAATGCTAGATAGATCGAAGATATGGCACACAACTGCTATGACAAAATGACAAATGCCGGTATGGATGTCAAGCTCAAAAAACTATCCAACATCTTATCGGGGGCCGCCAGGCATTTGCTGTAACTGAATATAAGAAACAAAGGAAAGGACAGTAGGAAAGATTGTTTATCAAGAGATAGCTATCAAACTGGGAGTTCGTTAAACAAACCATATCCCATATTATCAATACGTTCCTGAAAGTATACTTGAGAATGACAACTACAAACTATACTGGGACCGAACTTTGCTCACAGACCAAACAGTGGTACATAATAGACCAGATCTCATACTAGTTAATAAACTTAGGAGACAAAAAACACTTATTCATGTGGCGATACCCAACAACAATAATCTTTGTGTTAAACAGAATGAAAAGATCGGGATCTGGAAATTAAAATACGAAGACAGTGTAGAATGAAAAGTACCCAGACAATACCTATTATTCTCCCTACTACTGGAGTCATTCCGAAGAACCTCCTAGAAAACATAAAAAAGCTAGGTCTGAATGAACATCTCTACAAGACTATGCAGAAAGTTGTACTAATCTCAACGTTTAGATGTGTACAAAAATTTTTGGGAGATACTCCAGCGTACCAAATCACCTAGGTCTCGATAACACGAAAAAAATCTCACCAGAGCTCAATCCTTTTGATACCGTAGATATCTGGGAAAAGTGAATTTTCCCCTTAGATGAAGTGTGAGGCGTATGACTTAATCTGGATAATAATAATAATAATATATTTAAATATTTTACAGAAAACTGAATATATAAAGAAGAACTTGAAGGAGCAATAAAAACGTAAAATATGGAAAAGCACCTGGAGTGAATAGAATAACAGCAGAAATTATAGAAAAACATGCGAAAAAGGGAGAACAAATATTACTAAAAATAATAAATAAAATATGGACAAATAAAGACATTCCAGAAGATTGGAATGTATCACTAATAGTACCCATATATAAAAAAGAAGATAGTCGAAAATGTAATAACTACTGAGGATTAACGTTGCTATGTCCATGTATGAAACTCTTATGCAAAACTGACGTCTGACATTAAACAGAAAAAAAATGTACTTCTCGTCAATTAATTTGTCTTGCAATTACAGTTTATATATATATATATATATATATATATATATATATATATATATATATATATATATATATATATATGTCTTAGAAACACATAACCAAATAATCCTTTCCTTTAATTTTTAAAGTTTTTAAAATCAAACTTTACGAAATTGTAGATTGTTCTACGGTTTTAGAGTTCTTATCGTCTAAGCATATCCCAATATGGCTTATCCATCTTTTCATCCATCGTAGATAATGAAAGTTTACAAACAGTTTTGCATAAAAAATTAATACATTATAGTGGCTTATTTAATATTACAATATTTTTATTTTTAGGTAAAGTATATCAAATCTCAAAATGTAGCTGGTGTAATGGTATGGCAAATAGGACAAGATGACATTAAGGGAGTTTGTGGACCAAAACAAGGATTATTACATGCTGTAAACAACAATTTGTAATGAATTTCTTAAAAGTAATAAATAATAAAGAAATAATAGTTTATTTTCTTCAATGCTAACAAAATAATGCTGGAGAAAATGGAGAAAATAAAGGATACGTTAAAAAAGAAGTAAAAGATCAGGTCTTCTTCTTCTTGTAGTACCTATTCATTTCTTCTGTTGGCGACCATCATGGCAATCTGTATTTTGCAAACTGCGGCTCTTAATAGATTTGTGGTTGATGTATTGAAACACGTACGTCGATTTTTTAGCCAGGAAAATCTTCGACTTCCTGGTCCGCGTTTTCCTTCTACTTTGCCTTGTAGAATTGTGACCGAAATATTCGATTTTGCCTATTTTTATTGTGGTTAATAACTCTTTCCATTTTTGCATTCTTAATAAAACGTCCTGGTTAGTAATGTGGTCGGTATAGGATAGCTTCAGGATTGGACGATAAAGCAACATTTTAAAAGCCTCAATTTTCTTTGAGATAGCGTCTGTGAGAGTCCACGACTAAACTTCGTACAACAGTATTAAAACAGTTGTACAACGGTACTGATAAATCATGGCATTTCAATAGCTTAGTAACTTTTTGAAATGCAGATCTTGCTTTTTCTATCCTACATTTTATTTCCCAATTTTCATTGACGTTTGTACCAAGGTAGGGGTATGTTTTTACTCTTTCTATCGGTTTACCATTCACACTGATTTTTTCAATTTGCTGTTTCTTCTTAGAGATCATCGTACATTTTGTTTTCTTAATGTTCAGTGAAAGTCCATATCTTTGACTTACTTATGTCTGTCTATTCAATAACTCCTGGATGGCTTCAACTGTCAATGAATACCACCGTGTCTTCCGCGTATATGATGTTATTGATACATTCTCCGTTAATTCGCATTTGATTTTCTCTTTGCATAGTGTGTATATTCTATAATGTATGATTTTTAGAAATAACTCTAAAATGATGCTCATTAAACTGATGGTCCAGATATCGTTGCAAGATACGGATTTTGTTTGCTTTGATAGAGCAATAAACGTTGACTTAAGCCATGATCTTGGTATTATTCCGTTTAAATATATGACATTGAATATTTTTGTTAGTCATTGATTACCTTCGGTGTTGAATAGCTTTATGAGTTTAGCATATGCATTTTCAAGTCCAGGAGCTTTGCTATCTTTTAATTGCGATATAACTTTTTCCACTTTATCTGATTGGTTTGGTAAGTGGTCATAACATATGTAGGACGGTGGTTGTTCGGACCTATTATCACCAAAGAGTTCTTGCATGTATTTAGTCCATATGTATATTTCTTGATTTTTATCGGTGATGATGTTCCCCTGTTAATCTTTGCAGTTTGCTAGTAGTGTTGTATGTTTAAAGACCAGCTGCTTATTTAATTTTTTTGTGCATATTAAATGTATCGGGTTTTTTTCCAACAAATATATCTCTTCACACTATGTTTTTGACCAATTTTCTTTGGCCTTTCGTATTTAGATTCTAATTTGTCTCTGAATATTTTTGTACATTCTTTTGTTGTTTTTTGATTTTCTTCTATGTTCCATGAGTTGCAGTATATTGTCATTCATCTAACTTTTCCTCTTGTCTTCATTTTCTATTAGATGTCCTTTTCTGATGTTGTTAAAGGTTTGACATATATTCTGGAGTGATTCTTCTGGATTATATGTTTGCTGAATAAGGATTAGGAAAGGTCAACTACAAAGAGAAAATAGATTAGCTAAGTCTTAATTACAGTAGATATATAGCGTAACCGACACATTAACTGTGAAATGGAATCAAGAATATATAAGGTGAGATAAGATCAATAAAACCCGACACAGCAAAAACAAAGAGAATAGTGGAAACTGTAGAAATGAGAATACTCAGAATATTACTGGAAACACACAGAGAGACCGAATAAGGAGTGAAGAGATTAGAACAAAATATAATTTATCTACAAAGTAAAAGGGGAAAATTCAAGTGTTTAGCTGTAATCAATGACGTATAATATATAGACTCGGTGAACGATTTAAAAAGTGTCCACAACATGAATACCTTTGTTATGTTTATTGTTTTGATACGAAGATGCACGAAGTTCATGATTTCTTACGAAGCATCACGAAGTTGAACTTGTGTATGAAAACATTTTCGCTATTTTGTGTGTTTACATATTTTTACTATTTTATGTGACAAGCAAATTTTATTTTAAATTGTTGAGAGTTATTTACTTACTATTTTAGTAAAATACCATACTATTTTATAAAAATAATTTTTTCTCTTATAGACGGGAACAAAAAAAAATCATAAATACTTATTTAATTTTAATTTAAAAAATAATTATTGTCATTAAAATATAAATGAGCACGCCGCTGTTCTGGTAAACATACCTTCAACCACAGAATAATAAACAATCAGAATTCTCACCCTCCATGGAAAATTAAGTACGCGCATCTCGTTAGCGCAGACGTTCCGCCATGTTTTAAAGGGAACCAGTGTTGTTTAATGAAAATTTATGTGGTGTTCATAGAAAAATTAACCCGGTTTAATTGACTTACGGCAATCATAGACATACTATACAATTATTTTAACATTGTTAAATATAATAAAATAAATATGATATAATTAAATATAATTAAACATAAATATAAAAAATTACATAATCTTACAAATCATTTGTCAATAAAGAAATTACACCAAATGTGATTCTCAATCCGAGTCTGTGTTCTGTGTTTCCTTCTAAAACATGGCGCACGTGCTGAAAAACTTCAAAGGCGGCATCTGAGAGTGGGCATTCTGTTTATTATTCTGTGCTTCAACTTTGAGCGGAGATCTTTAGGACACTCTATTATATAGCGAGAATACGGGACTGCTTAGTTTATATATTATACGTCATTAGCTGTAATGCCATAGTTTAAAAATCTTATATATAAGTGAGAACTTCTTTGTATAATGGTATACTATTTATTAAAAAATAATTTAAAAATTTATCCACATACGATTACAAATGGCAGACGATCTTTTCTTAGGAGCAACTACAGCTCGCTTTGCTTTCGTCTTAACTACTTTGTATACATCCTTATCTTCCTTTTCTTTAGACCTGTCATACCTCTTTCTAGCTTTTTTTCGCTCTAATCTTCTCTTGTACTTTTACCATTATCAAGTTTAGTTGTCTATAGGCCTTTTACTAGATGTTTTCCTTAACACTTCCTCTCTCACTCAAACCACAACTTTACTGTTGGCTTCTCACCAATCATTTACCATATCTTAAATACTGTTGTCAAATTATTATCCAAAGAAAATTTAATACAATTTAAAAAAATTCGCGTTTTGCTAGATATACCTATTTTTAGTCCATTTTTTTGAAAAAAAGTATCTAGCAAAAACTAAATATCTTACAAAACGAATCTAAAAATACAACTGAGGAAATAAGTCTGGACAACAAGAATATCGGGAAGGTTAAGTCCTATATATACTTAGGACAAAAAATCGAATTAACAAAGTTCAACTTGAAGGCTGATTTAAATAGATGTCCCTTAGCATGGGCAGCATTCGGCATATTATAAATAGTATTTAAATGAAACTTACCAAATATTTTAAACGCAAAAACTTTCGATTAGTACGTATTGTCGGTACTGGCATATGAAAATAAAACATGAGCTTTTAACAAAAATATAACCCACAAACTCCAAGTGATTCAGAGAGCTATGGAACGGAGAATGCTCAATATTAAGCTTAGCGATCGCAAGTCCAATGTCCAATGCAGAAATAAAAAAACGAACAAAAATTAAAATGGAATCCAAAAGATTGCCATGTTAAAATGGAACTGGACAGGATACAATAGAATTTTGCAAGAAGATAGTGATATTAGTAAAGAAAATGAGTGGTCTGATACTTCAAGTAGTGATTTGTTTGAACATTTATAGAAAGTGAACATTTAATTTTATCTTTTTATTTGCGTACTGTATAGTGTTTTTTGATTTTTTCTATTTTTTATATTAAGCAATGTGTTAATTTTTGTACACGTAAGTAGATTTATAAACAATCAAAAGAAAATTACAATTACACTCATATGTAGGATAAGCAAATATCAACTTAGCTTTGATTTTTTGCTTTTCTATATTTAAAATTTCCTATCTAAGAAATAAAATAATTAACACCTTAAATTAAATATATTTTTTAATATATTGTTGTAAGTTACATGCCCTCAATTGCGGCCCTTTGCGTTTCAAAAGTCCAGAAGCATCTCCGTCGCCGAATTCCATTATAAGCCCGAAAGAGCGGACTCTGAGATGATTATTTTAAAATTTTCACTCAACATACACTATCAAATAATTATTTTAATAAATTTTATAATTCTAATATTTATTGTTTTATTACACCAGAAAATATTATAATCTATTATACATTTCACTGTATTCAAATATGGGGTTTCATTACATCATTTATAGTGTTTAAAAGTGGGTTAATTTTTCCAGATGATCCTCGGAAATCGTCGGTATCTATGCCCCATGCCATAACACCTCCTAGTTTGCTTTCCAATGCAAATAAAGTCTGTTGAAAATATAAAAATTATTTTGATTAGTATTATTAACACATTTTCGTCAAATGGCTGTAGAAACAAAATGGAAATCGAAATAAAGTTTGAAATACATGTTAAAATAAATATTTTAAGAGAGGTTCAAAGAAATTTAGTTCAGACGGGATCTGCCGAAATGTAGATAATAAGTCCATAATCGACATTTTCCATGGGAATGTGCATAGGAATTATATTTGTCTGTTGAAATCACTTCGGGATGTACCTTTTATAAATAATCACGATATGAGCGAGTCACAAACCTTATGCTTAATTTTGTATTTAACATACAATGTCAAATAGTCAAAAGATACTACCCTGCACCTCTTTTTTCAGAGTCCCATATACGATGTAATTCCTTTCGAAAGTTAGTGACGCAACGAATTGAATTTGAGTATTCTCTGTATTTTTGGAGCAATTGATCGTACTGTTCACTTTTTTAAATTCTATTACTATAATCTTTAGTGTTGACGTTCCACAAAGCCGGTAATGACCGATACACATCTGCACACTCTATAATAAACTTTATTCCTTCCTATTTTCCCTTTGTAGACATATTTTTTTACCTTACCGCGATGTTTACACCAAGAGTGTTAAAACGAAACTGAACCAATATTGCGCAGTATTACTGACAGACGCCGCAATATTTACAATATTGCTCAATACAAATCAAAGTCATGTTTATTGACCCAATATAACTCCATCATTTAATGTGATCTACAGACGATCAATATATTGTCATCACCATCACTGGCTCGACAACCCTTTTTGGGTCTTGGCCTGTTCAAGGATTCTTCTCCATTCTGACCTGTTTCGTGCTTTTTTTTCCAGTTTTTAATTTTTAATGTTGTTATGTCATTTTCTATTTGTTCTACGTATCTCAGCTTCGGTCTTCCTCTTGTTCTTTTTCCTACTGGCACTTGTTTGAATATTTTGTTTGGTATTTCGTCTTCTTCCATTCTTTTCACATGTCCAATCCAACGTAGCCTTTCTATTTTAATGAATGTTATGATATCCGGATCCTCGTATATGTTGTATAGTTCAAAGTTATACCTTCTCCGCTAAATCCCGTTTTCTTTTGTGCCCTTATATATGTGTCGCAAGATTTTTCTTTCAAAGGTGGCTAATAACGTTTCCTCCCTTTTAGAGAGTGTCCAGGTTTCTGAACCGTATGTGAGTACCGGTCTTATTAAGGTTTTGTATATTTGGCATTTTGTTTTTCTGGAGACGTTATTTGATCTTAGTTGCCTAATTAAGCCATGGTAACATTTATTGACAATAAATATTCTCCTCTTCACTTCCTCTGCAACGTTGCTATCAGACTTAACTAGGGATCCTAAGTATGTAAAGTTTTTTACCGCCTCAATGTTGTATTCTCCTATTGTTAAATTTGGCAGCTGCCTTATTTGTGGGTTTTTATTTGCAGGCATATATTTTGTTTTTGTCTGATTGATTTTAAGACCACTATTTTTTGCAGCTCGTTCTATTTGAAAGAATGCCTCTATCATTTCTCTTCTTGATCTTGCGATTATGTCACCATCATCTGCAAATGCTAGGACTTGCACGCTTTTATTAATTATTGTTCCTCGGGTATTAACTGTTGTGTCTCTTATTATTTTTTCAAGTATGATGTTGAATAATATGCATGATAGAGCGTCTCCCTGGCGTAGTCTCTTCTTCACATCTATTGTTTCCGTTAATTCGTTTTGTATCCGGATTTTACTTTCTACTTTTAGTGTTTCTTTTATCAATTCTATTAGCTGTGTTGGTATATTAAATTCTTTCATTGCTTTTGTTAGGAATGCTAACTGCTCACTGCTGTTCTAATTTCTGCTATTGTTGGTGGACTCTTTTCTCTGTTGTCTGCTTGGTATAACGGTATATCAGGGTTCATCTCCGTCCTATTCACCCTAAGCTTTTCCTTAAAATGTTCTGTCCATCTTCGTAGTATCTCTTGCTGTTCTGTCAATATATTACCCTCCTTATCTTTACACATCGTTGTTCTCGGTTTGAACTCTTTTCTGCTTTTGTTGAGTTTCTGCTAAAATTTTCATGTCTCTGTTGGTTTACTTAGTTCTTGTAGTTCTTGAAGTTCTTTGTTGATATATTCTCTCTTCTTTCTTCGGTGAATTTTCTTTTCTTCTTTACGTAGTTGTTTATATTCTTCCTCTGCTTGTCGGGTTCTGTGCCTCTGTTGCATCTGTAGATATGCTCTGTTTTTTCTTTCTGTTATAGTTTGACATTCTTCGTCAAACTAGTGATTCGTTCTTGTTCTTCTTTCTTTACCTTCCATGCCCAACACCTCTTTAGCTGTTTCTTTTATGATTTCTCTGCACTCTTCCCACTCCTCATTTAGGTTTTCATGTTTTAGTCTGTTTTCTAGTTTAATGGTTATATTTTCTTTGTACTCTCTATTTTTGTTTGTTTCTTTGAGTCCTTCTATATTGTATCGTTCATGTTTAGAGCCTCTTTCCTTTTTGATGTTTGAAATTATAGCCCTTATCCTACTTTCGACCAGGTAGTAATCAGAATCCGCGATAAGATCAATATATTGTACAATATAAATTATTGTCCAATATATTGACAATAATATTGACCCTCTAGGGGTCGCTTTAAATTCCAAATTTTTAGTCCAACAAGTATGATGTAAAACTGAAAAACAAAACTTTTACTCTTTATAGTTTTTTTTTTTGTAGGAGCAATATATCTTGAGTTATTTGCGAAATATGATCGCAAACAGCAAACGTTTGTTCAGATTTTGTTAAATACCAAATTAATCACAAGTTTTGTCACTGGCGCATATCGTAATTATTAGTACAAGGTACGTCTTGAAGAGATTTCGGCAAAAAACTCAACAATAAACTCCTACGGAAAGTGTCCAATATAAAAAGTTCCCGCCTGGATTAATTTAATAAACATGAAATAGATGTCAGTAGTATGTAAAACGTCAAACTTAAAAGATATCGGTGCAAACATATCGCACCCTGGGATAATCGAATTTTAAAGATTGACACGGTTCCAGTACTTTTAATATTGTATAAAGGTTACCATACATTTTTCAAATACTTATTGTAGCAATTTTGTACCTCAAAAACTATTTTTTTAAGTAAATGAATTACCTTTCCGCTGTAAATAATTAAATACAATTCTGGGAAGGAAGATACAACAGTTTAAGATTAGAAAATGAATGCACCACAGTATAAAATTGTTTAATAATTATCAAAAATTGAACAAAAATTATGATAATTTGTAAATGAACGACAAAAATACATAACGTATCAAATAATAATTATATTAATAAAATTATTATATGATTGCTTACCAATGGTTTATAGAAGTATGCATGGGACTTAAATATATGATTTTGTTGAAGCAACCAAATAAAATTAATCTTTTTCAATCGAAATTCCAGGTACGGTTGCGTACACTGGATCTAATGTTGAAGTACTCACTCTCTTGCTTCCTTCTGTTTCCATAATGTTTTGTAAAATATTACATTTGGTTGGCTTTTTTTCCATCATTAGCACCTTAATTTTTAACCACTCTTTGTCCTTCTCTGTGTTAAGAGAAAAGTCAAAATTTACAGCTAATTTCTTAAAATTATAGAAATCAGTGAAGTGTAATTCCTTCACAACATAAGGATCTCCAGATTTTTTGCCTGCAAATGCTTCGCGTTTGAGACTCCACTAGTGGAAATGAATCAATACACTGTCTGGCATACTCTACAGCATCTGGAGGTAAAGCGTCATGGCTGTTATATTTTCCACGCTTATAATCACAAATAATGCCAGATTCATCAACTTTGTTCCATGTGGTACAGACATACCTTTCTTTTCTTCATGTATAGTAATTTTGTTGACGGCAGCTCGAAAAAGAGATGCAGAGGATCTGTTAAACCAATCTCTCAGGTTTCTAAGCCATGAGGTTCTTTTTAGACCTGGACCTCTTCTTTCGTTTACCCTGCCTTGTGTTATTAAATGGAGTATATTATATCTCTTTGGGTGGCGCATAACATTGCCAAAGTATTCGAGTTTGCAATTTTGAACTGTTTTGACGATTTTTCTCATCCGATGCAAAACAACTTCGTTACAAACTCTATCCACCCAACTTATTCGTAGAATTCTCCAATACACCCAGATTTCAAAGGCTTCCAGTTTCTTGAGAAGTGTATCTGTCAAAGTCCAACCTTCGACACCATACAAAAGAGTAGAGAACGCATAACATCTCACTAATCTCATTTTCAGACTTAAAGTAATATTGCTTCCACATAACAGTTTCTTCATCTGAGAGAATGCAGCTCTGGCCTTCTCTATCCGTATTCTAATTTCTTTGCTCATGTCCCAGTTTTCATTTTGATTACAACCAAAGTAAGTGATACTGTTAGTTCTCTCCGGTTGTTCACCATAAGCTGTTACCACTTCCGGTTGTATTGGCGTTTTACTGACGACCATCACCTTTATGTTTGCGGTTTTTAGCTTAAAGCCATATTTATTACACGTTGTGGTAATCCTATTAATTAGATGTTGAAGTTCTTCGTAATTGCTTGCAATTAACACTGTATCATCAGCAATACAAATTATTAATATTGATGCCATCCATTTTTATACCACATTGAACATTATCCACTGCTTTATTGAAAACAAACTCAGAATAGACGTTAAATAGTAGCGGGGACAAAATGCAGCCCTGATTTACTCCTATTCGTATTTAAAGCTCTTCAGAAGTGTCCCGGCCAATCATGATGTTTGTGCGTTGATGCCAATAACGATTTTTAATAATGCGTAGGTCTTTATCATCAATACCTACCTGCTGAAGAATGACTATCATTTTAGTATGTTTTACTCGATCAAAGGCCTTCTCAAAGTCAATAAAACACATATAAACTGGATGTCCGACATCTCTGCATCTCTGTACCATAACCTGAATACTAAATAGTGCTTCTTTTGTTCCAAGGTTATTGCGGAATCCAAACTGTGTGTCACCAAGTTGTTGTTCTATTTTTTGGTACATACTAGAGTGCAAAATTCGTAGAAATATCTTTAAAACATGATGGTTCGGTAGTCACTCCACCTTTTTGAATTTGCTTTTTTAGGTATCGTCACAAAAGTCGACAGCTGCCAATTCGTTGGTATATAGCCAGTTTCATAAATTTTATTAAACAGATTAAGGTGAGATATTTTACCTGAACCTTCGAAGAGCTTTATTAATTTACTCGGTATTTCATCTGGTCCCATCGCTTTTACGGTCTTTGCTAATCGTATTGCTTGTTTAATTAATCGTCCATAGTTATGCCAGGTCCTGCAACTAGTTCGTTAATTTCAAGCTCGGGCCTTTCATTACTAAACAGTTCCTCAATATACTCTTTCCATATGTCTATTTTATGCAAATTAATGATAATCAGTTTTCCGTCTCTATCAACGATGTTATTTGCCTGTTTTTTATTCTGACTTGTCAGTTCTTTTATTTTTTTATACATATGAAATGAATCATGTTTTCCCTATAACTCTTTAATTTATAAACATTTGTTTTCAAAGTATGTTTGTTTTGCAGCTCTTATTTTAATCCTTATATCTTTATTTATACATACCTTTCACTGATCCCAAACGTATTAAGAAAAAAGGTTTAGTACACTTCTACATGATTATCATTTATCAACAGCACATACTTATAACATTACATACACAACAGCATATAATTATTGCACCTAATCTGTTTGCTGTGGTAAGATGGAGGTTTCTTCGATGTCTTCTGAACCAGAAAAGATCGCTTCATTCTCAAATCACCAAGGGTCCAGAACTTTCGATTCATTTCATGACGTTGGTCATCATTAAATTTTTCCGAACATTTTAGTCTACAGCGTTCTGTACATGTAGGTTTCACTTGAGGCTGTTCAACAATAACTTTTTTTCGTGTGACATAAGCTTTACCTAAATTGCGATTCTTTTTTCTAGTGCTGACTGCCCACTTGAATTCATTTCTTTTCCTTTTGTACTGTATAAACTGATATTGAAAAAACTTCGTTTAGTAAGTAAATTTACCGAAAACAATAACAATTATACATGAATATTCAAAAGCCATCTTACTTTCATCTTCATCTGATATTTCGTCACTGTCTGCTTCAGCTTTGGCTATGTAACCATTATCAATAGGACTTTTGTATTTTTAACATTTGCATTTGCTGCTAAATTTTCATTTACGTCTTCAGGAATGATATTACAAGGAAAAGAATTTTGATTATTGTCAAAATTAATTAATACCAAGTTGCCTTCGTCATTTACAGTAGCCTCCAAGACAAGTGTATCCTACATTAACAGAATGGCAGAATATATAATCGACCATATTGATTTATTTATATATCAAAACTTTGAATTTGGAAAAAAATAATTTTGAAAACTTCTCACCTCTGTAATAATTTTTTAAGTGAAAATACTGCTGTCGTTATCAAACTCTACAGTAACTGTATTATCATCTGCTCCAGGTAACGTCTCATGTAAAAACACAGTTGCCATAAATGGTCTTAAAATTTTTAAGAAATTGATAAATAAAATTCGTGCTGACTATTACGGTTCTATTTCCAAAGCACAACAGTAATAAAAATATTTAATGCATCAAATAACGAACAGAAATGTATTCTAATATAATAAATTAATAACATACCGTTTTATCCTTAGAGCAACTTTGCTTCACAGAAAGACATCTTTTTCTTGAACTAAGTTACTTGATTCACAAATCATTTGTGATAAATGCAACATCAGTTTACTACGTATGATGAAATATTTTCTGCAACTATTACAACTCATTGTAAATAATTTTAATACCAGGCCGCTGTTAGCTGTTAAACACAGACCAAGAACAACTAACTAAACATCTATGAACTAAACTAAAATAAGATTAGAAAAACCGATCACATTACGTAGTAACTTCCAAATCCTAGAGTCAAACTGTTGTATGTTACGTGCTACATTCGATTTCACTATTTATAGAAGTATTTAAGTGAATACTGTTTTAAGTTACATACGACCGGTATTTCCTTAAACGAATCTGTGGTATTTAACATACAGTAGTCTTCTATTCAGAGGCTGGACATGTTTTTGAACTAAAACAACTGTTGTTTGCTAAATAGCATTTAAATAATGAGAGCTGGATATTGCGACAGTGTTTCATTAACAAGAGCTCTTTAAATCACATACGAATTAAACATAACCTGAAAATGGTTATTTTGAAACAACAGTTGCCATCTCAGGATGCGATATACTCATAAAATATAAGTTAAGTATACCATAATGAATAAAAAAAGGAACGTTTTAAGTTCATAATAAAAACTTACTTTTATTCTTACTGATCTTTCATCATCATATCCAATCCACTGGTCTCCCTTATTCGTATGAGGAACCTTCTGTACATCGTCCCATATATATTCCCAAAAGGCTTCTCGATATCCCATTTCCATAATCTAGTAAAATAAATTTAATATTAACCCTACTTCCTTTAAACCTGAAATTTTTCGTTAAACTTAAATTCCAAGACAAAATTTCCCCAACTTCTTTGCCTTCTTTTCCGTGATAAAACAGATAATAAAGCTATAAAAGTAAAAAGAATTATATTATTAAAAAAGTGTTTCACCTCGTTATACCCTAGGTATCCTTTGTCATCTGTGTAAGGTCCACTTTTACTTGGTCCGATTGAAGCTGCTCCTACAGATGTATCGCCGCTATTTTTTAGTGTAAAGCCTCTCCCATAGAAAGGAATACCAAGAATTAATTTTTTTTTATCGGCGCCCAAAGAAATCCAATTATTTATTGCATATTCCTTGAAAATTAAAAATATGTTACAATTCTTTTATAACCTTTTAGACAGGAAAGGTGAAATACAAAATATGTAAAATATTTCCCAGTTTTACGACTTTTATATTGCTTTAAAATTTACTAAATAATAAATATTGTATTTTATAAACTTTATTATTAAAAGTTTACCACAGATTAAAAAATGTAAAAGGGTAAAAGAAGCCGAAGCCTCAAAAGATTTGAACTACAAAACCAGAACGGAATTCAGTTGAATACAAGCAATCTACACCTTCTAAAATAGTCATCAGAAAATTACACCAATCTTGTTAGGTAAAGAATTTATTAAAAGATTTTGACACATAAGCCGCTGTGTTTGTCTACTTTTGGACGCTCTCTTTAAGATCTCCATAGGTAGATATTTCGACTACAAGATATTTATATCACGGTCGGCATTATCTCTTGGTCTCCATTCCAGTATCCGATTTGTCCATCTGCTATCTGTCATTCGATCCACGTGACCTGCCTAGTTACACTTCAGTGTTGCTATTGTCTCTACAGCGTCAGCCACTCCTGACCTTGTAGCATTTGCAATTTCATTGATTCTTTGGTATATATTGGAATCCCCTTGTATATGTAATATATTGAAATCCCCTGATATATGAATAAAAATAACGAAGATTTTTTCCATGTTTCTTAGTTTGTATCTTTCAAGTTAAAACCCAAATAATATTTTGTTCTTTCTTAGGTCGGCTCAAGTTAATAGAAACCATTTTAGAGTTGTTTATTTTTAACAGATGTGTACTTCCTCGGCATTCTTTTGCATTTTATATGCTGCGTCTTAATTTCCGTTTGTGTTTTGTTTATACCAAGTGCTTTGTATATTCCAACTTAAGCGATCAATTTTAAAAGATAATTTCATGACTCTCGTTAGAGCCGCGATCAAGAGCGGTTCAGCGTTATGTCCAAATTCATGTCGAATTTGTAAAGTTTTCTGTTTTTACCCCTTTTCATAGAAAATGAGTAACAGTGTGAAGTTAATGGTTCAGTTAATGTTTTGAGTGAGGATTGGAAGAATCGTCGTTTCCATCCTCGTTTCGTTTCTCCCTGGTTATCATCCAAGGCTTTTTGGCAGTATGGAGATAGATTTGTTCGTGTGTTCGTTGCACAGAAAGTGAAGCCCAGGTCTACCCTCAGTTATAGTTCCAGCTATGGTTCTAGAAATTCCAGAAAAATTGTAAATTTTAGGTTTTGAGTTTAGCTGTCATTTTAAATTTTTCTGTTTTAAATTTAATGTTAACATAAGACAGCTCGCTTTATTATTTTCGATATTTATTTGTTTTGTTTGTTTTAAAAAAGGTTAACCTTTGTGCGGTAACATTAATTGTAAGTTTTTGTAGTATCTCCAACTCCTAGAGTATGTAAACGGATAACATGTAAGTTTTTTTGTATTTTTTTTATTTTGCAGCTATTGATACGTTTTTGCATTGTCTTAATTTTGTAACTGTTTGTGGTAAGACACAATAAATGTTAAATTTTTTTCTTAACATTTTGTTTATTTTTTAACTAACCTTTTTTGAGTTTCATTTGAAAAAGATATGTTGTAATGGTTATAATTTGACACCTCGAAGTGGCGTCCTTTTTAAATTACTAGAGGTGTTTCCTGTTTCTGTTCTGTTTGTCCCAAAAGATTCATGACCCAAGTAGTTGTCCAATCCAACTCCTTTGCCATTTACTTATCCACGACACAAGCTCTCCTAACAAACCCTGAGTGCTGTTCGCATATGTTTCGATTATTTTGCTTGCCCTATCTCCACCCCAATAGTTTCTGCCCTCAACTTTCAGCCCTCATAGTATTACCCCATGGGGTAGGCAAAATATCTTCGTTACAACCTTCGTTGTAGCTGGCGGTTTGGGATCTTGTCTCGCAGTGAAACGCCCAACATATCAGTCTTCATCGCCCTTTGAGCCACACGTATCTTTTTCACTGTTTTTTGTCATAGTCAACGTTTAAACTCCATAAATCAACACTGGCAGAACACTCTGATTAATATTTTTTATTTTAAGACATATTGGTACGTTGGACGATTTGAACATGTCAACTTGCCGAAGGCTGTTCAAGTCAGCCTTATAGGACAAAAAAGCTCAACACTTTGGATATAGTATATACCTGGGCGAATCTCGTGACCTTGGTATTTACAAGCTATTACCTGGTATATCTAGTGTATGACCAAATCTTGTTCCTAGGAACAAGATTTGGTCTCAGCTGTTGACATATTCATGCTGTAGTTCTTTACCACTGTGTTGAATGTCTGTGACATTCAGGTTATTCTCATTATCCGAGATTAAGATTGCGTTGTCAGTATAGCAGATGATTTTTATTTGTTTTCTCCTATCTTATATCCTTTACTATATCCCTCAAATAATGGTGCATTTTTATTTATTTTATTGGCTAGTATTCTTGTTTTGAGAGTTGTGCTTAGCAAGGTAATTGTACGGTTATTAGTAGGCTCTTTCCTGTTTCCTCTCTTGTGTATTGGTAATGTTTTACTCTTTCTCCACTGGTTTGGAACCCACTAGCTTTATATTATTTCCTAAAAAAGCTTTTCTATATTTTCGATTAGGGTTTCTTCTCCATATTCTAGAAATTCATTCGGTATTCCATGAGATCCTGTGATTTTTTTGAATTTTTTGAACAAATTCACCTTTGTTATTCCTTATATCCTTTTAGTGATTTCTGTTACCATTTCTGTTTGATTCATCTTCATTTTTTGTTTTTTCCTCTTAAGGTATAATAGTATCTCCCTTGTACAGTTTTTTTCTATATATTTGGTCCATTGTTCTGTTTCTATTTTACTTAAAGTCGTGTTCCATTGCTTGAGTAAAATGTGTCAAATATTCTCTTTTTATATTTCTTATTATAGTATAAATGTAATTTTTTTTATCTCGGTATTGTTGGTTATTATTTGATGTTTTGTTACTGTAGTATTGTAGGCATGTTTTCCTCTTCTCGAATGCTATAAAGCGTTTCACGTTAAAAACGGAGCGTTGTGGGTAGTACTACGTATTTCTTATGGACAATAGAAGCGAGCCGATGCCACGACAAGCACAAGCACGATTCAAGGTTGTACTCGTATTTGTATTTTCTTTTCCACAGAGATGAATTAGAATAAGTGTGTTCTAACGTAACTGACCAGAAGTGCCCATTGAAAACAAAAGATGAAAAGTAAGGAAATTGATTTTAATTAAATAAATATTCTTTGCGAAAGATAATTTTATATTTTAATTATATTAACGACAGATTAATTGTTTTTTGGTGAGAATACAAAATGTCATTATAAACCTGGTCATTGCAAACTAATTATCTTCGTACCTCGTACCTATAATAATAACAAGGCTTTGTAGTTATTTAGTAGTTATTCTGACTTCACAGAGTAATATTCAATGAAAATTGAAATTCAAAAATTAAGCCAAGGAAATATCTGTGGGAAACAAATATCGATAAAGTAAGTGCTATGACTTAAGTAAAGTAAAAATGTACCAAAAGACTTACGACACGTGGTTCTGTGTCGTAAGAGCGTTCTGTGTCGTTCTAAAAAAAATACATTTTTTTCTTTAAAAATCTACCGCGACATTAAAGTTTTTTTACTGGTTAAAAAAAAGATCGGATAGCCAAGCGGGCTGGGCGGCTGGCTTCTCCTTCGGCGAGAGATGTCAGTTCACTCCCCAGTGTGATGTATGTGAATAAGAAAACATTCGGAACGCACTCAGGTTGGTAACATGTAAGAGTGACGTGACGTACAGGTGCAAGGAAGAGGAAATAAAACCATTCTGAATCTAGACACGATAGATGAAAGGTGTTTCATTGTAACCTAATTTCCACTCTCCATAACCTATCCTATAAACCCGACCACGTGTCATCACATGGTGCCGAAAACCAAAATCTGAAACCAAACCGAATTCTTTAAGATTTAAGAAGAGTATAAAAGTGAAATGGAATCTAAGGCAGCAATAAACTCAATGCAAATGTCAGGTAATTTATACGAAAACTGGAAGTTCTTCATACAAAGATTTAAAAACTACCTTCAAGCAACAGAATTAACAAAAAAACCTGAAATAACCCAATGCGCACAACTGCTACAACTAATAGGAGACGACGGATTCAAAATCTATAATACGTTCAAGTTCTCAACAGAAGAAAAAGGTAAGTTAGAACCATTAATTACAAAATTTGAAGCACATTTCAAACCCAAAAGCAATGTATCAAACGCAAGGTATTGCCTGTTTAACAGAAAACAAGATGAAGGTGAGTCAGTAGACAAATTCATAACAGATATTGTAAACCAGGCAAAAAATTGTGAGTTGGAGGATTTGGAGGACAGTCTGATTAAGACTTGCATAACATGTGGGGTAACAGATGAAACCATGAGACAGAGACTGTTAGAAGAAGATGAGATGAGCTTGGAAAAAGCAATCAATCTGTGTAAAAGTATAGAAAGCTCGAAAATCCATTCTGAAAAAATGAGGTCAGAGGAGGTAAACTACATAAAGAAAGGAAACTTCGGTAAGAAATATGTAAATAAAGCCCAGTGGGAAGACAGAAGAGTGAATCAAACTCATTCGAAGTCCCAAGGCAGCCAGTTCAATGGTAAATCCGGAAGCAGTTCAGGGTGCAGTAGATGTGGAATGGAGCACAGAGGCCAACCCTGCAAGGCATATAAAGCTAAGTGTAATTTATGTAATAAGATAGGGCATTATGCAAAAGTATGTTTTCAAAAACAAATTAAATATGTAAATGTAGATGATTCAGAATCAGATGAATTGTTTATAGGTATGGTAAATACTAAAATTGATACTTTTGACAATGATTTCATGATAAATTTTAAAGTTAATAAGCACAAATTAAGCTGTAGATTGGATACAGGGGCAATGGCAAATGTAATATCAATAAATAAGTTAAATTCTCTAGAAGTTAAGGTTGAACTACATAAAACAAATTGTAGGTTAACAACATTTTTAAATGAAAAA